CTTGAGTGGCCCAGCCAGAGCCTGGACTTGAACCCGATCCAACGTCTCTGGAGGGACCTGGAAATATCTGTGCAGCAACGCTCCCCATCCAACTTACAGAGGTTGAGAGGATCTGCAGAGAAGAATGGGAGAAACTCCCCAAATACAGGTGTGCCAAGCTTGTAGCATCATACCCAAGAAGACTCGAGGCTGTAATCACTGCCAAAGGTGCTTCATCAAAGTACTGAGTAAAGGGTCTGAATACGTATGTAAATGTGATATTATTATTATTATTATTATTATTATTATGATTTGTATAAATGTGCAAAAAAATCTAAAAAACAGTTTTTGGTTTGTCATTATGGGGTATTGTGTGTAGATTGATGAGAGCGAAAACGATTTAATCTATTTTAGAATAAGGCTGTAAAGTAAAAAAATGTGGAAAAAATACTGAATACTTTCCGAATGCACTGTATGTTTTGATAAGGTTTGTATCACAACCAAAGTGGCCAAATAACTTCTTAAAATTAAGCACATTAATCCACTTTAAAACAGGTGTAGAGCCTAACTGGCATACATATGCAGCACGTGAATTTCAAGTTTGGGGAAGATAATTTTCACCATAAAACTGCACATTTATAATAAAAGCATTACATGCATAATGGCATTTGCGGTCACTTTTGAGAATGGTGTTTTTCCTCTAATGGAACATTCGCGCTTATAGCCTACTGCCGTGTGCGCATTGCTGCGCTTATAATGTGAAGAAATAGCCTAAGAGTTGATCAACAGTTTAAACTAAACGTTCTGATCTGTTGCGTTAGCCTCATTGCTTAACAAAGGTTTTTTGATGCTAGTGGTTGTATTAATTTGGGAGCAATCGCATCCCGCAATTGTCCCAGACTATGTTTGGAATATTTATTTCTCACACAGAATAGAATAGGTCAACATTTTGTACTATGGGGGATAGTAGATTGACATTGGCTAGTGCTTTTGCTGTTCGTTAGGCCTACTCATCTTGTTGGCTGACGAAAAGTAAATGTGGACAGTTCTTCCAATATCTTCAATATACGCCTCAGAATCGGATAAGGACGTGCGCAGTTGCATCCCCGATGTGTCGGTCTTCACTTGTAGCCTGTGAGAAAGACCTGATCACGTGACGGGCATTGGCTAATAAGAATTGAGCTAACTGTGAGAGCCATGTCAGTGAGAGGTGCTTCGGAGCACGCAGCCAGGAGAAGGGAATTATAATGATTAAATTCGGCACAATGGCCACTGGCCAAGAAAGGCATGGATTTCTTTAGGGGGCATTACGGCCACACAAAGTGGATGCCACCGGGAAAAATCGAGGCATTATCAGGTGCTTGTTAAATTGTGAATGAGAGACTGATGAGGTGTGTACAGCCTGCGCAAAAAACAAAGCAGAGCTCATGCCTTTCATGTGACTTTTTTCAAGTCATCATTAGAGTCGCATCTTGAAGCCTTAGAATGTATTAAAAATCAAAACATATAGCCCAGCATTTGTATCACAACTAAAGTTCCATAAATAACTCTAAGTTAAGCATATAGGAGTACCTGTTTCTTTGTTAACTGCTCAACACAGAATAGCCGCAGGTGCTCACTCCCTCAAATCGTTTGGAGAAAATATCCTTTCTATTTTATTCAGCTATGTTCAATTGTATTCTTCATACAATAAAATAATGCCATGGAATTCTAAGCAAATCTTGTCTGCTAAATGAACTAGTGTAGCCCACAGCCATTTGGCATAGCCAGATCAGGGCCTAACATAAGAACAACTCAGAGTATGCTATTCTGTTCTTCTGAAATATACTATTTTTTTTTAAATATCATGTTTCTTTAGACCTGTCTAAAATAAATAATGGATTTATTGTGATGGTGTAGACTATATTACATATATTTATTAGACTTTTTTAAATGTAGATGTTGCAAAGGTCTGCTTTAGTGGCTTGTAGGCTACGCTAATTAACGGTCAATTACCGTGAGACTGGCAGTTATTTGCTTGACAATCACGGGCTGACAAAATGTAATGAACGCCACAGGCCTAATCCCAGCCCATTCGGGTGTGGAAGGGAATGAAATTGTAGACCAGATAGCCAAAAGGGCTTTAAAACTAGATATAATTGATATTCATGTTCCACTGGATAGAGGTGAGGCCAAATGTAAGATCAGCTATTTTGATAGATGTGTGGCAGAAGAGATGGGACTCTGAGCCCAAGGGCCGGCATTAATATGCCCTCCAAAGGGTATTTTAGAAGTTAGTAGGGTTCTTTTTTTTTATTTTCTCAGAAGTACTGAGTTAGGTAAGAGGATTTAGAAAATGTGGAGCTAACGTTGTAAACCATATGATCGACCACACACTCCAGCACAGTAGGTGGCGGCATGCACGGGAAACGTTTGTTTGCGGACCGCCATTATATCATAGAAGAAGAAGAAGATCAGCTCGCTACAAGAAGTGAAGATGGCGACTGCCTACGAGAGGTTCAATTTGTAAGTATTGTTCTTCACTTTTAAATGTATTAAAACGACACCAATCAAGTATAAGGAATATCAGGTCGACATTTGTCATGATTGTCAAAAGTCGGGTTGACATTAGCTAGCTGGCTTGCTGAATGTTAGTTAAGTCAACAGCTATCTTGGTGAATGCTAGCCAAGGCAACAACCAATGGTCATGCAGTCTAGTAGAACTCGCTTAGCTTGCTTAAAGGGTAACTCTCAACCCCAATTTCAGCATTTCCCGAACCCCTTCAAATGTTCAAAAATGCATTCAGTTGAGAAGTTGTGGGTGGGAGTAGTTGTACCTTATCCCAACACTTTCTCACTAAAGCATACTTACCAGAAGTATCTACTGGCATGCTCTGATAATAAAATGATTGAGCAAATATGTCTCTGAACAGTTGGCTCCCAGTGGTGAGGCGCCGAGTTCTTGACATCTATTACCACTTGCAGTGTAAACTCTAATCCCCCCCGTAGGGTGCAAAACAAATCATTGAAATGTGGATTCACATTTATGGCGTTATTCTGTTGGGAAGAAAAGTGCAATCATCACCTCGAAAATGAAGATTAGGGGCTCAATTCAATCCAACCCGCAGTGCAGTATTTACCCAGTATCTCTTTTTCCAATGGTCAAATTAACTCACAGATTAGTCTTGGGTTCTCTATAAAAACCTACAACTACTACCAGGGCGACCCCTCTCACAGGTATGCTTTTACTTTTCAGAATTAGAAGTGTGGGCACAGGATGGATATTGTAAAAAAGGAGACGTTTTTTTTTTATCTGCCCCCAACCTGTTTTCAGAGCATTTAGTATTATTCTGTACGTAAATCCGAGATGGTCCATTTAGTATGATACAGTATGTTACATTTCGTATGGTATGTATTAATTTGTGAATGTCCATCATCCATTTCGTATGATATGTTTACGAATTGCAATTTGTACAATATGTTACGGGGCGGCAGGAGGCCTAGCTGTTAAGAGCGTTTTTCCAGTAACCGAAAGGTCACTGGTTCGAATCCCGAACCTGCTTGGTGAAAAATATTTAGATGAACCCTTGAACAAGGCACTTAACCCTAATTACTCATTTAATTCGCTCTGGATAAGAGCGTCTGCTAAATGACTAAAATATCAAATATGTTACGAATTCCAATTTGTTGTTGCTAACGTTAGCTAGGTGGCTAACGTTAGCGGGATTAAGATTAGGGGTTAGGGTTAAGGTTAGTAGTTAGGTTAAAGGGGAAGGGTTAGCTAACATCCTAAGTAGTTTCAAAGTAGCTAAAAAGTAATTCGTTTCAAAGTTGCTAAAGTTGTCCGTGATGAGATTCGAACACGCAACCTTTGGGTTGCTAGATGTTTGCGTTATACGCCCACCCATCCACCCCTGACCAACCACACTCCTTTCGGTTTTGCCATAAGTAACCTTCTGCCTTAAGTAACCATACCAACCGTAACATGTCATACTAATTCGAGTGGCCTGGATTTACGTTTACTATGTCACGTCTAGTCTATGAGACCAGGCTGCTGCCACCATTAAACTATGAGCCAACTGTTTTAGCAGACAGCGGTTGGGAAAAAATCCAACGCGTTGACATGACCACCATTGTCATCTATTTCTTGTTACGATTGATTGAGGCTATGAATATAAACGTATCATCCTCAGCCTACATGATTTTGTTCTTGATATGTGTGGAAATGTGCCTTTTTTGAATGTTGTGTAACATCAGTAGTCTAGTCAAGGAACCATCATGCAAAATATATTGGCACACTCCACTTACCAAGACCTTTGCCAAGTAAGGTGCACTGTCACCAGCACATCTAGAAGGGAGTTTATTTCGTACTGAATCCCTCCCTTGAGATGACATAGGTGCCTTTACGTCACGATTTCAATGGTAGAGTTGAACCGCTACGGGCAAAAAGAGCTACATTTACTATTAAAATACCAAAATATATCACTTTTGCAACGAACTGTCAAAATGAAGACCAGTATTGACATGTTTCACTATAACTAAGCACAAAACATCTGGTTTTCCATGAAAAAAAAGTGTTTTTCATAAAAGTTACTCTTTAACCTGAGCTAGCTATATAACAATCTATTTGTCTAGCTAGCTAATGAAGAAATCCCATTTAATGTTGCATGACCATTTTTAGTTTAGTGGCCAGCTAATTAGCTCATCTTGTTGCAAAAAAAAACTTAATTGTCTGGTTGGCTTGTTTGCTACCAGGTAGTCAAGTCATATGGATAAGCAGCATATGATAACAATTTGACCAGACAACTGTCCAGGCAAACAGAACTAGGGTTTTATCACTCCCAAATTCTGCATTTTCTTTGTTGAAATGTTGTCCTGTAAGCTCAGTTCTATGTGCCATCTCAGCTGTAGTGTGTGTGACCCTTTGCAGGAACTATTGGGCAACTGAATACCTGACTGAGTTGTCATGTTCTCAAACCAAGGAAATGGGGGCAAGTCAAGTAGTAGTTGTATTAACATAAAGGACTGCTGATGAATCAGAGATGGCGCCGGTAGCTCGTTGAGAATAACCAAGCCTATGTGACAAGTGCAATACCCATGGGCCATGAACCGGGTCTAACCTACTTTTGGTTGTTGAATTCAGTCACAACTTCACGTCAAGTTATGCAAGCAGACAATATAATAATAATAATAATAATACCAGTAATTGAATGTTTGCGTTATACGCAAAATTATTATAATTAAAGTTTTATTATGCTTTTCATTATACAGAATCTCAAAGCGCTTGTTAAGCGGCAGGTAGCTTAGTGGTCAAGAGCGTTGTGCCAGTAACCGAAAGGTCGCTGGTTCTAATCCCTGAGCCGACTAGGTGAAAAATCTGTCTATGTGCCCTTGAGCAAGGCACTTAACCCTAATTGCTCCTGTAAGTCGCACTGGATAAGAGCGTCTGCTAAATGACTAAAATGTAAAATGTAAAAATTATATAGGCTACAACATCAGCTAGATCAAGTCTGTTGGAGTGCTTCTAGATCAAGTCTGAGTGCTTCTAGATCACGTCTGTTTGAGTGCTTCTAGATCAAGTCTGTTGGAGTGCTTCTAGATCACGTCTGTTGGAGTGCTTCTAGATCACGTCTGTTGGAGTGCTTCTAGATCACGTCTGTTGGAGTGCTTCTAGATCAAGTCTGTTGGAGTGCTTCTAGATCACGTCTGTTTGAGTGCTTCTAGATCACGTCTGTTGGAGTGCTTCTAGATCAAGTCTGTTTGAGTGCTTCTAGATCAAGTCTGTTGGAGTGCTTCTATACTGAACAAAAATATAAACGCAACATGTAAAGTGTTGGTCCTATGTTTCATGAGCTGAAATAAAAGATCCCAGAAATGTTTTATACGCACAAAAAGCTTATTTCTCACAAATGTTGGTCACAAATCTGTTTACATCCCTGTTAGTGAGCATTTCTCCTTTGCCAAGATAATCCATCCACCTGACAGCTGTGGCATATCAATAAGCTGATTAAACAGCATGATCTTTACCAGTGGTGTAAAAAGTACCCAATTGTCATACTTGAGTAAAAGTAAAGATACCTTAATAGAAAATGACTCAAGTAAAAGTGAAAGTCACCCAGTAAAATCCTACTTGAGTAAAAGTATTTGGTTTTAAATATACTTAAGTATCAAAAGTAAATGTAATTGCTAAAATATGCTTAAGTATCAAAAGTAGAAGTGAAAGTATAAATAATTTCAAATTCCTTATATTAAGCAAACCAGACACCACCATTTTCTTGTTTTAATTTTTTTACGGATAGCCAGGGGCACACTCCAACACTCAGACATAAATTACAAACGAAGCATTTGTGTTTAGTGAGTCCGCCAGATCAGAGGCAGTAGGGATGACCAGGGATGTTCTCTTGATAAGCGTGTGAATTAAACCATTTACCTGTCCTGCTAAGCATTCAAAATGTAACAAGTACTTTTTGGTGTCAGGGAAAATGTATGGAGTAAAAAGTACATCATTTTCTTTAGGAATGTGGTAAAGTAAAATTTGTCAAATAGTAAAGTACAGATACCCCAAAAAACGACTAAAGTAGTACTTTCAAGTATTTTTACTTAAGTACTTTACACAGGTGCACCTTGTGCTGGGGACAATAAAAGGCCACTCAAAAATGTGCAGTTTTGTCACACAACACAATTCCACAGATGTCTCAAGTTTTGAAGGAGCGTCCAATTAGCATACTGACTACAGGAAGGTCCACCAGAGCTGTTGCCAGATATTTGAATGTTCATTTCGCCTCCAACGTCGTTTTAAAGAATTTGGCAGTATGTCCAACCGGCCTCACACCCGCAGACCAACGCAAAACCACACCTGCCCAGGACCTCTACACCCGGCTTCTTCACCTGCGGGATCGTCTGAGACCAGCCACCCGGACAGCTGATGAAACTGTGGGTTTGCACAACCGAAGAAGTTCTACTTTCAGGAAACCGTTTCAGGGATTCTCCTCAGCTTGCTCGTCGTCCTCACCAGGGTCTTGACCTGACTGGAGTTGGGCGTTGTAACCGACTTCAGTGGGCAAATGCTCACCTTCGATGGCCACTGGCACGCTGGAGAAGTGTGCTCTTCACGGATTCATCTCGGGTTTCAACTAGAGCTCTCCAGATGGAGGGTTGACGGACCACGTGTTTTATACCGTAGCCTATCAGTGCAGTGTTTTACTTTGTGGGTGGTTTAAGTGCGTTGCTCAAGGCCACAACGGCTCAGTTGTCATTATCGTACGTTCATGGTCTGCCTGTCTGCCCTGTAATAAACCTCAGGATTGTCACGTCTCTGTAATGTGCTGCATCTCAGGCGGCAGACAGCCTTTCTGTTACGGTGTGCTCTTCATGTCACTGGACGTTCTCCGTAACGTGCTCCTGGCTGACCCAAGATCAGCATCTAAGGGAAACTTCACCCTACTCCGCCACATACTTGAACCTCTCCATTATTCCCTTCCCACAGGCACACTACCCCAGAGAAGTTCTACATTGAGGCCTGTGATGACGGGGCCGATGCAGTCCTGGCCATCGACAGGGTGTCCAATGAGATGACCCTGACTGGTAAGACTCAGTACACACCGTAGCGAAACGTTTTGCAACAAAAAAACAAGCATTTGTTATTGGATGAATTCAGGTAGGTTCCAAGAGAGGGTTTATAGCTTCCTAATGGAGTTCCTGAAGTGCGGAAGTTGTGAATAATGAATGTACCCTTAAAACCTACAACTGCATAAAGTGCTGGCAAAGTTTAGCGCACCACTCCGTCTAGCTCAGCAAAAGATCTAGGTCTACAACTGAAGATGACCTATTGTGGATCAGTACAGTAGCTGGATGTGTGTGTGGTCAATACAGTAGCTGGATGTATGTGTGGTCAATACAGTAGCTGGATGTGTGTGGTCTGTACAGTAGCTGGATGTGTGTGGTCAATACAGTAGCTAGATGTGTGTGGTCAATACAGTAGCTGGATGTATGTGTGGTCAATACAGTAGCTGGATGTGTGTGTGGTCAATACAGTAGCTGGATGTGTGTGGTCTGTACAGTAGCTGGATGTGTGTGGTCAATACAGTAGCTAGATGTGTGTGGTCAATACAGTAGCTGGATGTATGTGTGGTCAATACAGTAGCTGGATGTGTGTGTGGTCAATACAGTAGCTGGATGTGTGTGTGGTCAATACAGTAGCTGGATGTGTGTGTGGTCAATACAGTAGCTGGATGTGTGTTAATCATTGTGATTAGAGAGTGTTTATCCTGTATCCTGTATCTTCTTTAGGGAAGAAGGATGTTCCTCCGTCAGCTAACACCAGGCCCATCTGTGGCATCATGGGGACCATCCGCCTGGTGGCAGGTAGGCACCACAGCCTGACACAACACTGGACTGGTCCTTATCTTGTCACACAGGATGTAGGCCTACCACTCGGTGCGTCCCAACAATATCTCCTTTCTCCTGAAGTGTGGAATCGTTCACTAATTCCCGCAAATCTAAAAACATCAGATTGGTGGAGGCATGGGTTAGAGCAGGGGTGTCAAACCAATGTTTTTTTTTTTCTTCTACTAACTATGTGTAGAAATGAAAATGGGCCTACATTCAGGAATTTTATTGACTGTGTACAGCTCGCTAATAATCACCGAAATGAAAAGCTAGACAGTCAGGGAGCATCAAATACCAAAAGTGATGGATAGATGACTATTTTTAGCAAATTTGTACGGCGAGGAAATATAATCAGTTTTCAGTGTGGCCCTCCGGACCTCGTTGAAGACCGAATGCGACCCCCAGGGCAATCTGAGTTTGACACCCCTGCGACTAGAGGGAGTTTCCACCGTATTTCTTATACCAGTAATTACCTTTTCAAATCAGTGAAGGGAATTGAACAAGTGAACACTTGGGGAGAAAGGAGATTATCGGAACGTAACCCTTGTCCCTACAGGATGTACCCCTGTAACTAACACGTTACTGTTTTAAATAGGGTGTTGACCAGGCTGACGTTAACTGTGGTTTCCCCGCTCACAGGGATGTACCTGATCGTCATTACCAAGAAGAGGAATGTGGGCAGCCTCCTGGGTCACGCTGTGTGGAAGGCAGTGGATTTTGATGTCATCTCTTACAAAAAGACGGTGCTTCACCTCACTGAGAACCAGGTGACAAACACACTCATACACTTTTGGGATATATATTATTTTTATAATATATTTTTTTACATTACAGTTGGAAACAGAGGGGGAAGACAGGCAAATGAGAGACCAGTAGGAAGGGTGGATGTGGGGGATTGAACCCAGTCTGTGGTGGGTTGTGACTAGCCGGGAGTGTTACCGCTAGACCACGGGGTTCTGCACCGTATTTTCTTCCTATTCTAATACTCAGTCGGCTGGTTCTGTTTGAAACTCTTCCTAGTTACAGGATATCTATTCACTGATAGCTGTTGCTTGTTATCAATCCATCCATATCTGTGACTTTGCATTGTGTCAATACGCAGAGAGAATCTCCTTTCAATCTATCCTAGTGTTTGACAGGCAGTAGGGAAAGCACACTGCCATGGAAACAGTAGCTTTGACCTAGAGGGGACCTAGCTACAGTAGCTATGGTACAGCTAACAGACAGTAGCTTTGAACTTTAGCTAACAGACAGTAGCATTGAACTAGAGGGGACCTAGCTACAGTAGCTAACATACAGTAGCTTTGAACTAGAGGGACCTTAGCTACAGTAGCTATGGTACAGCTAACAGACAGTAGCTTTGAACTAGAGGGGACCTAGCTACAGATAGCGTTAGGTACAAGCTAACAGACAGTAGCTTTGAAACTAGAGGGGACCTAGCTACAAGTAGCAACAAGACAGTAGCTTTGAACTAGAGGGGACCCTAGCTACAGTACTAACATACAGGTACCGCTTGAACATAGAGTGGCCCTAGCTTGAACAGTAGGAACAACAGTAGCTTTTGGAACTAGTAGGACGTTAGCTACAGTAGCTAACAGACAGTAGCTTTGAACTAGAGGGTACCTAGCTACAGTAGCTAAATAAAGACAAGTAGCTTTGAAACTTAGAGGGGACCTAGCTTACAGTAGCCTCTTGGTACAGCTAACAGACAGTAGCTTTGAACTAGAGGACCTAGCTACAGTAGCGTTAGTACAGCTAACAGACAGTAGCTTTGAACTAGAGGACCTAGCTACAGTACTATGGGTACAGCTAACAGACGTAGCTGTTGAACTAGAGGGACCTAGCTACAGTAGCGTAGTACAGCTACACAGTAGCTTTGAACTAGGGGACCTAGCTACAGTAGCTAACAGACAGTAGCTTTGAACTAGGGGACCTAGCTACAGTAGCGTTAGTACAGCTAACAGACAGTAGCTTTGAACTAGAGGGGACTTAGCTACAGTAGCGTTAGTACAGCTAACAGACAGTAGCTTTGAACTAGGGGACCTAGCTACAGTAGCGTTAGTACAGCTAACAGACAGTAGCTTTGAACTAGAGGACCTAGCTACAGTAGCGTTAGTACAGCTAACAGACAGTAGCTTTGAACTTTAGCTAACAGACAGTAGCTTTGACCTAGAGGGGACCTAGCTACAGTAGCGTTAGTACAGCTAACAGACAGTAGCTTTGAACTAGAGGGACCTAGCTACAGTAGCTAACAGACAGTAGCTTTGAACTAGAGGGGACCTAGCTACAGTAGCTAACATACAGTAGCTTTGAACTAGAGGGGACCTAGCTACAGTAGCTTAGTACAGTACGACAGTAGCTTTGAACTAGGGGGACCTAGCTACAGTAGCTAACAGACAGTAGCTTTGAACTAGGGGACCTAGCTACAGTAGCTAACAGACAGTAGCTTTGAACTAGAGGGGACCTAGCTACAGTAGCTAACAGACAGTAGCTTTGAACTAGAGGGGACCTAGCTACAGTAGCTAACAGACAGTAGCTTTGAACTAGAGGGGACCTAGCTACAGTAGCTAACAGACAGTAGCTTTGAACTAGGGGGACCTAGCTACAGTAGCTAACAGACAGTAGCTTTGAACTAGGGGACCTAGCTACAGTAAAGGCTACGGTAACAGACAGTAGCTTGAACTAGGGGGACTAGCTACAGTAGCTAACAGACAGTAGCTTTTGAACTAGAGGGGACCTAGCTACAGTAGCTAACAGACAGTAGCTTTGAACTAGGGGACCTAGCTACAGTAGCTAACAGACAGTAGCTTTGAACTAGGGGACCTAGCTACAGTAGCTAACAGACAGTAGCTTTGAACTAGGGGACCTAGCTACAGTAGCTAACATACAGTAGCTTTGAACTAGAGGGGACCTAGCTACAGTAGCTAACAGACAGTAGCTTTGAACTAGGGGACCTAGCTACAGTAGCTAACAGACAGTAGCTTTGAACTAGAGGGGACCTAGCTACAGTAGCTAAACAGACAGTAGCTTTGTGAACTAGGGGGACCCTAGCTACAGTAGCTAACAGACAGTAGCTTTGAACTAGAGGGGACCTAGCTACAGAGCTAAGTTGAATAGAGGGGACCTTGCTACAGTAGCTAACAGACAGTAGCTTTGAACTAGGGGACCTAGCTTTAACAGTAGCCTAACAGACAGTAGCTTTGAACTAGAGGGACCTAGCTACAGTAGCTAACAGACAGTAGCTTGAACTAGAGGGGACCTAGCTACAGTAGCTAACAGACAGTAGCTTTGAACTAGGGGACCTAGCTACAGTAGCTAAACAGACAGTAGCTTTGAACTAGAGGGGACCTAGCTACAGTAGTGTCAAATCCAATGTTAAGTAAATTCCAAGAATTCAATTCCCAATTCAATATTATCCCCAAGAATTATACAAATTCCAATTTGAAATCAATTCCTTCAGGCTTTCAGGCTTATCATTTCAGTGTTCAGAAATATTCAAATTGTTAACATTTATTTAAAACAAATCCTGCAGTCAATGTTTGATACTAAGTGCTTTACTGTAACTGGGAAATGTGCAAAAGTAGTGCACTATAAAGGGAATAGGGTGTAATTTGGGACGCAACCTCAAGTCATTGTATCTGTTTAGAGATGCACCACAGGTCATTGTATCTGTTTAGAGATGCACCACAGGTCATTGTATCTGTTTAGAGATGCACCACAGGTCATTGTATCTGTTTAGAGATGCACCACAGGTCATTGTATCTGTTTAGAGATGCACCACAGGTCATTGTATCTGTTTAGAGATGCACCACAGGTCATTGTATCTGTTTAGAGATGCACCACAGGACATTGTATCTGTTTAGAGATGCACCACAGGTCATTATATCTGTTTAGAGATGCACCACAGGTCATTGTATCTGTTTAGAGATGCACCACAGGACATTGTATCTGTTTAGAGATGCACCACAGGTCATTGTATCTGTTTAGAGATGCACCACAGGTCATTGTATCTGTTTAGAGATGCACCACAGGTCATTGTATCTGTTTAGAGATGCACCACAGGTCATTGTATCTGTTTAGAGATGCACCACAGGACATTGTATCTGTTTAGAGATGCACCACAGGTCATTGTATCTGTTTAGAGATGCACCACAGGTCATTGTATCTGTTTAGAGATGCACCACAGCACACAGTCAGAACAACGCTTGCTAACAGCACAGCTTACTAAAGGTCACAGTGAATTTCCTTTGTTATGGAAAATGGAAGTTGTCACACACTCTTTACTTGATACGTAAAGAAAGACTTATATATTTTCTTATTAGAATTATCAGTGAAAGTTTTGGTCTAAATGCCTCAGGTGTTTTAATACTTCACGTTTTCGATGAGTGCCGTGGGTGGAGTGGAAATTTAGTTTGGAGGTATTAGAAACCATGTGTGATTCCAAATGGCACCCTATTTCCTATACTGTGCACTACTTTTGACCAGAGGCCAAAAGTAATGCCCTATATAGGGAATAGGGCACCATTTGGAACACAAGACTTGCATTTTAATGTATTTGGCCGTCAGTCATCTTGAGGAGAGAGACACTGCATTCACTGGCAAAAACAGGATACAAAGTGCTGATAAAGTGCTGACATAATGCAGGGAAGCAGCTGCAGCCTCGTAGGGAGTGATGAGGTATAGGGTCAATCCCATTTGCATCCTCTCTCCTCTTCTTCTCTTCAAAACACATTGGAGAAGACCTTAGTTTCAAGTTTTAATGTCAAATGCTCAAGTACAGTGAAATGCCTTTCTTGCAAACTCAAAACACAACAATGCAATAATGAATAACAATGTATTACTATAAAAAAATAACACGAGAAATATGAAATACACAGGAAATATACAGGAAATATTTAAAAAGTCAGTTCCAATACCATATTTACATGTGCAGGGGTACTGGATTGATGGAGGTAGATACAGTGTATTCGGAAAGTATTCAGACCCCTTGACTTTTTCCACATTTTGTTACGTTACAGCCTTATTCTAAAATAGATTACATTTTTCCCTCATCAATTACACACAATACGTCTGGAGCAAAAACAGGTTTTTAGAAATGTTTGCAAATGTATATAAAAATAAGAAAATGGTAATATGACATTTTAAGTATTCAGACCTTTTACTCAGTACTTTGTTGTAGCACCTTTGGCAGCGATTACAACCTCAAGTCTTCTTGGGTATGACGCTACAAGCTTGGCACACCTGTATTTGGGGAGTTTCTCCCATTCCTCTCTGCAGATCCTCTCAAGCTCTGTCTTGTTGGATGGGGAGTGTCGCTGCACAGCTATTTTCAGGTCTCTCCAGAGATGTTCGATCGGGTTCAAGGCCGGGCTCTGGCTGGGCCACTCAAGGACATTCAGAGACTTGTCCCGAAGCCAGTCCTGCATTGTCTTGGCTGTGTGCTTAGGGTCGTTGTGCTGTTGGAAGGTGAACCTTCGCCCCAGTCTGAGGTCCTGAGCGCTCTGGAGCAGGTTTTCATCAAGGATCTCTCTGTACTTTGCTCCGTTCATCTTTCCCTCGATCCTGACTAGTCTCCCAGTCCCTGCCGCTGAAAAACATCCCCACAACATAATGCTGCCACCACCATGCTTCACCGTAGGGATGGTGCCAGGTTTCCTCCAGACGTGACGCTTGGAATTCAGGCCAAAGAGTTCAATGTTGGTTTCATCAGACCAGACTATCTTGTTTCTCATGGTCTGAGAGTCTTTATGTGCCTTTGGCAAACTCAAAGCTGGCTGTCATGTGCCTTTTACTGAGGAGTGGCTTCCGTCTGTCCACTCTACCATAAAGGCCTGATTGGTGTAGTGCTGCAGAGATGGTTGTTCTTCTGGAAGGTTCTCCCATCTCCACAGAGGAACTCTGGAGCTCTGTCAGAGTGATCATCGGGTTCTTGGTCACCTCCCTGACCAAGGTCCTTCTCCCCCAATTTCTCAGTTTGGCCGGGCGGCCAGCTCTAGGAAGAGTCTTGGTGGTTCCAAACTTCTTCAATTTAAGAAGGATGGAGGCCACTGTGTTCTTGGGGACCTTCAATGCTGCAGAAATGATTTGGTACCCTTCCCCAGATCTGTGCCTCGACACAATCCTGTCTCGAAGCTCTATGGACAATTCCTTCGACCTCATGGCTTGTTTTTGCTCTGACATGCGCTGTCAACTGTGGGACCTTATATAGACAGGTGTGTGCCTTTCCAAATCATGTCCAATCAATAGAATTTACCACAGGTGGACTCCAATCAAGTTGTCGAAACATCTCAAGGATGATCAATGGAAACAGGATGCACTTGAGCTCAATTTCGAGTCTCATAGCAAAGGGTCTGAATACTTATGTAAGTAAGGTATTTGTTTTTAAGTTTTAAGAAATTTGCTAAAAGTATTGGGTATTGTGTGTAGATTGATGAGGAAAACAATTATTTTAATCAATTTTAGAACAAGGCTGTAACGTAACAAAATGTGGAAAAAGTAAAATGGTTTGAATACTTTCCGAATGCACTGTATGTATACGGGTAAGGTGACTATGCAACAGGATATAAGATAAACAGAGTAGCAGCAGCTTGTATGTGAGTGGGTTGTGTAGAGTCAGTATAAATGTATGTGCATATTATGTGCGAGTGAGAAAATGGAGTTTGTGTGTGAGTATGTGATGATGTAGGACCCTGTGAGTGTTTATAGAGACAAATACTGAAAGAAGAGGGGAGGAACCTTGGACCTTCTCCTCCGATACTGTTGAGAAGGAGACAAGCAGGTGGGACGTGAGGGATCACGGAAAGACACATTGAGAAGTGCAACACTTTGGTAGAAAGGAGAAATTGTGGTCATAGCTGTAGTCATTCATGTCCGTCTTGTCTAGGGGATAATTTCTGTATTTTGCAAGTTCCATATCTTGGATACTTGATTACTGACAAGCAAAAATCAATGGACTAATGAAACAAATACCAAAATATGGCTTTCCTTTAGACATCGGCTGCGTCCCAAATGTCACCTGCACCACATAGGGAATAGGGTGCAGCCATTTGGGATGCAGAGATCATTAGAAGTTGTGCACTAAACTCTGGGAGGGAGGTGAAGTGGACAAGGTTTAGAATGAAACCCATCAACTCGGAGGGCTATTGTAATATGTAAGAGATGATTTCAACCGTGCATAACAAGGCCCCATTTTGAAACCACCGGGGCTGTAATAGTACTTCAGAACATCTGATGCGGTTCAGATTTATTTTAGCCAGATTTATTTAATTTGTTTATAGGTCACCTAGTAAGATTTTTGTCAATGTTTCTAAATAAAGCATGCTGTTTAATTTCATATGAAAAGTCCCTGGCTTAACAGCCTCTCTTTCCACATTTTCACACACACACACAACTCCTACACAAAACGGCAAACTGCACTGTCATGAGTTGTGCCCAACCAGCTAAAATCTATTTTCTCCCATCCAGACGCATGACAACAAGACATTCCTGTCCATGATTAACAACGTGCTGACTACAGATGGATTCTACTTCTGCACTGACTATGACCTGACCCACACCCTCCAGAGACTGGCCAACGTCAGCCACGACTTCCAGGAGATGAGCCTGCTGGAGAGGGTAGGAGAAGAGGGGGAGGGAGAGAGGGAGAGAGAGCGTGAGGAGGGGAGAGAGAGAGAGAGGACAAGAGAGAGAGGAGAGAGAGAGGGGGAGAGGGTGTGTGAAAAGAGGGTAGGAGAAGAGGGGGGAGGGAGGGAGGGAGAGAGAGCATGAGGAGGGGAGAGAGAGGAGGAGAGAGAGGGGAGGAGAGGGAGAGGGGGAGAGGGTGTGTGAAAAGAGGGTGGGGGTGTGGAAGGGGAGAGAGAGAGGAGAGCGAGGAGGTGTGGAAGAGGGTAGGAGGGGAGGGGGTGAGAAATGACTATTGTTTCTCTGGAACAAAGACCCTGTCCAGAAACAACCCTAGACCCAACCTAACCCTCGAGGCTCTTGTGCAGACCTGGAAAGATTGATAGAGGTAGACAGTTTACCATACTGCTCATATCCAGAGGGCAAGGTGCAGCTACCACCATATTGCTTATAACTAACCGATTCTTTCAAATCTACATTTACATTTACATTTTAGTCATTTAGCAGACGCTCTTATCCAGAGCGACTTACAGTTAGTGAGTGCATACATTTTCATACATTCTCTGATTATTTTAGGAGCATAACAGTTGTTTTTGGACAGGGCCAGAGTTTTCTCCTATTGCATACCAAGCTAGTCAACCACAATGGCTTAGATGATGATATCCCTCTCTCATCCATATTGGAGGAGTGTCACTGGGGTGTTTGGGCTTTGGGCTCCTGCCATTCATGTAAACCACACTAGTCACCTTGCCCTCGTGTACACACACACACACAGAAGCATTTACTCACGTAAACACACACACACACACACACACCACTGTCTGCTCAAACTGATGGAGATAATTTACTGCAGGCTGATTGTCAGATACAGTGCCTTCAGAAATTAATCACACGACTTTACAAAGATACAGCCGCCCTTCCTAACTTAGTTGCCGGATGGGAAGGAAACCGCTCAGAGATTTCACCATAAGGCCAATGGTGATTTTAAAACAGAGTTTAATGGCTTTGATAGGAGATAACTGAGGATGGATCAACAGCGTTGTAGTTACTCCACAATACTAACATAAATGACAGAGTGAAAAGAAGGAAGCCTGTACAAAATAAAAAATATTCCAAAACATGCATCCTGTTTGCAACTAGGCACTAAAGTAATACTGCAAAAAAATATGGCAAAGCAATTACCTTTTTGTCCTCAATACAACGTGTTATGTTTGGTGCAAATCCAACACATCACTGAGTACCACTCTTCATATTTTCAAGCATGGTGGTGGCTGCATCATGTTATGGTATGCTTTTCATCGACAAGGAATAGGGAGTTTTTTAAGATAAAAATAAATGGAATAGAGCTAAACACAGGCAAAATCCTAGAGGAAAACCTGGTTCATTCTGCTTTCCACCAGACACTGGGAGACATAATCACCTTTCAGCAGGACAGTTAGCTAAAACACAAGGCCAAATAAACACTGGAGTTGCTTACCAAGACGACATTCTCAGTGGCCTAGTTACAGTTTTGACTTAAATCTGCTTGAAAATCTATGGCAAGACTTGAAAATGGCTGTCAAGCAACAATCAACTTGACAGAGCTTAAATCGTTTTTTTAAAAGAATGACGAGCAAATCTTGTATAATCCAGGTGTGCAAAGCTCTTAGACTTACCCAGAAAGACTCACAGCTGTAATCGCTGCCAAAGGTGATTCTAACTTGTATTGACTCATGCGGTTGAAAACGTATGTAATCAAGAGATAGTGTTTTCCCCCCATTAATTACACAAAATGTTAGTATTTTTTAAAAGCTTTTACAGTCTTTTTTTTTTTTGTAGATCGTTGACCAAAAATGACAATTTAAATCCATTTTAATCCCACTTTGTAACACTAGAAAAGGGTTGTGAATACTTTCTGAAGGCACTATAGATTGAGGGATTGATTTATTGAGTCTGTGATTGACTGATTGGTTCTCCTGTTTCTAGGCAGATCAGAGGTTTGTGTGGAATGGAAGCCTCCTGAGAGAGTTCCTTGCACAGCCAGAGGTGAGTGTGATGATATGCCTTATAACACATTACACATGTCCACAGCCTTCCTCCTTTGTTTCTTATTCTAATGTACCAGCGGTAAGTGTATTAGAATATGGACGTCAAGATAACGTCAACCTTACCCCTCCAAAATTAACCTTATTTGTTTGAACAATAACTATAGACGACCACAGTCTTCCTCCTTTGTTTCTTGTTGAAATGTATCCAGTTTAAATGTGATATTTTCATTCCCTTTCAGCTCCACAAGTTTGCGATCCCTGTTGTCCATGGATGTATCCTTTGCATGGTCTTGCTTTGCTCCCACCGATCTTAGTGTAGTAGTAATCAGAACGTTGAGTTTGAATGGGTCTCTCTGAGTGTTCCAATAACCAATTTCAACTCAATGCAACTTAAATCATTCCCTCAGGGGCACTTTAGGTAACCGTCGCCAGGAAATAAATAATAACATCCTCTGCTTAGAGTACAAGAACAATAACATCCTCCACTTAGGGTTACGTCCCAAACTGCACCCTATCCCCTATATAGTGCACTACTTTTGACCAGACTATATAGGGGATAGGGTGCCATTTGGGACACAGACTTAGGTACAACTTGGCCTATGGGCTGATGCTGTAGCAGTGTATTATGTGAGGTCCTTGATGAGCCTGATCCAGTCGTTGTGATGAAGCCGTGCCGTGTCAACGGGAAGATCTTTGAATGGATCCTCATATCCAGAAGGAGCTGCTTCAGGGCTGGGGTCAGGTACTACGTCAGAGGTAAGACACATGGCCACGTCCCAGTTGGCACCCTGTTCCCTATGTTGTGCACTACTTTTGACCAGGGCTCATAGGGCCCTGGTCTAAAGTAGTGCACTATACAGGGAACAGGGTGCCAATTGGGTACGCAGCCATTGTACTGTACTGAGCAGCATTACTGGCATGTTGAATCAGTAATGGCCCCGTGGACATGCGTGATCATTCTCTCATTATCATTATTCGGTTTTTTTCCTCAGGTATCGATTCTGAGGGCCACGCTGCTAACTTTGTGGAGACGGAGCAAATAGTCCTGTACAATGGAGGGAGGGCTTCATTCGTACAGGTGAGTTTGAAAAGTAGTAGTAGTAGTAGTAGTAGAAGACGGTGGTGGTAGTAGACAACAGCAGTAGTAGTAGTAGTAGCAGTAGTAGTAGTAGTAGTAGTAGCAGTAGTAGCAGTAGTAGTAGTAGCAGTAGTAGCAGTAGTAGTAGTAGTAGTAGTAGTAGTAGTAGTAGTAGTAGTAGTAGTAGTAGTAGTAGCAGTAGTAGTAGCAGTAGCAGTAGCAGCAGTAGTAGTAGTAGTAGTAGTAGTAGCAGTAGTAGTAGTAGTAGTAGAAGACGGTGGTGGTAGTAGACAACAGCAGTAGTAGTCGTAGAAATAGTAGTAGTAGAATTAATAGTAGTAGTAGTTGTTCCAGTTATTGAATAGGCTCTGAACCAATCCAGAGAAATAAGAGCGTTTTTAAAGGTTTTTTTCAGATAATGTTTGTTTCCCTCCACAGACACGAGGCTCCATGCCCTTCTTCTGGTCTCAGAGGCCCAACCTGAAATACAAGCCCAAGCCACTGATCAGCAACAACACCAATCACGTAAGGGATTTTACATCTTCTGTTTCCCTCTTTCTATTGCATTACAGTACAACAGGTCAAAGGTTAGGTAAACCCACTCTGTGGATCTTTTGTCTACCAAATCATCAATTAACGCATTTTTCCCCAACTGTCTTCATAGATGGATGGCTTCCAGAGGCATTTTGACTCCCAGGTCCTCATCTATGGAAAGCAGACCATTCTGAACTTGGTAGGCCCCTCCATTTTTTTTTAAGCCTCACAATGGCTAACATCACTTTGTCACATAATTGTGAGAGAGACGCATTAGAGAGATGGATATAAGATTGTGTTCTTTTTCCTCCAGGTCAACCAGAAGGGTTCAGAGAAGCCCCTGGAACAAGCCTTTGCCAAGATGGTGTCTGGCTTGGAGAACGGCATGATCAAGTAGGAACAGACCACCGCTCTCCTGAACACTCACCCATCTGGCTTAGCATTTTGAGCGATTTATACCTTTTTAGATGGGCGGCAGGTAGCTTAGTGGGTAAGAGCGTGGTGCCAGTAACCGAAAGGTCGCTGGTTCTAATCCCTGAGCCGACTAGGTGAAAAATCTGTCGATGTGCCCTTAAGCAAGGCACTTAACCCTAATGGCTCCTGTAAGTCGCTCTGGATAAGAGCGTCTGCTAAATGTAAAAATTATGAAGATGAATGAATGAATGGATGGATGAATGGATGGATCTAGTGTATTCATGCTGTTTCTATTGGCTGCAGGTACGTAGCATTTGACTTCCACAAGGAGTGCAGCCGGATGAGATGGGATCGTCTGAATATCCTGGTGGACAATGTAGCTGAGACACAAGATGAATACAGGTATTTCTCCCTATTGACTCCTTTTTAAATAGCTGCTAGTCTACACCCACAACCATACAAGACTCCAGTTAAGTTCCTTAGCAAGAGGATAGGCATATGAACACAAAGGAGAGGGTCGTTTTCATCCTTTCTACCCTTTTATCTCTGGTGTGTCTTCAGGGTAACATACTGTGATTACATTACGGTAGTCAGTCTGGTCTGTCTTCAGGGTAAATTACCTGTGATTACATTACAGTAGTCAGTCTGGTCTGTCTTCAGGGTAAAATACCTGTGATTACATTACGGTAGTCAGTCTGGTCTGTCTTCAGGGTAACATACCTGTGATTACATTACGGTAGTCAGTCTGGTCTGTCTTAGGTAAATCCTGTGATTACCCTTACATCTGGCTCCGGGGTAACTCCTCTGATAAATTAAGATCGTCTGTCTGCTCAAGGGTAAAATTACCGAGTGAATGAATGAATGGTTTTTGGATAAATGTGGATTCTTAGTGATTCAGCTGGTCTATGCTCAGGTAACATTTGATTACAAGGTAGTCATCCGGTGTATGGGATACCGTTTTAAATTTACGGTGTCAGTCTGTAGTCTTCAGGTAACAATGTGATACAGGTATTCTCTCCATAGACTCCTTTTTAAATATGTCTGCTGTCTTCAGGAACATACCTAGATTCATTAGCTGTAGCAAGTCGGATTTTAGGCAATACAGATACATTAGGAGAGTGGTCGTTTCATCCTTTTACCCTTACTAGTCTCTGGTCTGTCTTCAGGGTAACATACCTGTGATTACATTACGGTAGTCAGTCTGGTCTGTCTTCAGGGTAACATACCTGTGATTACATTACGGTAGTCAGTCTGGTCTGTCTTCAGGGTAACATACCTGTGATTACATTACGGTAGTCATCTGGTCTGTCTTCAGGGTAACATACCTGTGATTACATTACGGTAGTCAGTCTGGTCTGTCTTCAGGGTAACATACCTGTGATTACATTACGGTAGTCAGTCTGGTCTGTCTTCAGGGTAACATACCTGTGATTACATTACGGTAGTCAGTCTGGTCTGTCTTCAGGGTAACATACCTGTGATTACATTACGGTAGTCAGTCTGGTCTGTCTTCAGGGTAACATACCTGTGATTACATTACGGTAGTCAGTCTGGTCTGTCTTCAGGGTAACATACCTGTGATTACATTACGGTAGTCAGTCTGGTCTGTCTTCAGGGTAACATACCTGTGATTACATTACGGTAGTCAGTCTGGTCTGTCTTCAGGGTAACATACCTGGTGATTAGCATATTAAAACCGGCTATGTGTTCGGTCTTCTCAAGGAACCATACTGTGCTACTATTACCGGAGTAGACAATCGAATCGTCCTTATTGTACACCATACACGGGTGAGTTACAGTGAGATCTTTACTGACAGCCCTGAACAACATCTGGGAAGTGTTCAAGTATTGCATCAAATGGAAAAACACGATTCCATAACAAGAGCACTAGTAAATACAGAGGGTCAATGCAAATAGTCCGGGTAGCCATGATTAGCTGTTCAGCAGTCTTATGGCTTGGGGGTAGAAGCTGTTGAGAAGTCTTTTGGACCTAGACTTGGCACTCCGGTACCACTTGTCGTGTGGTAGCAGAGAGAACAGTCTATGACTAGGGTGGCTGGAGTACTTTGGCAATTTTTTGGGCCTTCCTCTGACACATTAGGCATGGGTCCTCATATCCTCAAAAAGTTATACAGCTGCACCATCGAGAGCATCCTGACAGGTTGCATCACCGCCTGGGGCCAAGCTTCCTGCCATCCAGGACCTCAATACCAGGCGGTGATGAAACCAGTCAGGATGCTCTCGATGGTGCAGCTGTATAACTTTTTGAGGATATGAGGACCCATGCCTAATCTTTTCAGTATCCTGAGGGGGAATAGGCGTTGTCGTGCCCTCTGAATGACTGTCTTGGTGTGTTTGGACCATGATAGTTTGTTGGGGATGTGGACACCAAGGAACTTGAAACTCTCGACCCGCTCCACTACAGCCCTGTCGATGTTAATGGGGGCCTGTTTGGCCCTCCTTTTCCTGTAGTCCACGATCATCTCCTTTGTCTTCATCACGTTGAGGGAGAGGTTGGCACCACACTGCCAGGTCTCTGACCTCCTCCCTATAGGCTCTCTCATTGTTGTCAGTGATCAGGCCTACCACTGTTGTTTCGTCGGCAAACTTAATGATGGTGTTGGAGTCGTGCTTGGCCATGCAGTCATGGGTGAACAGGGAGTACAGGAGGGGACTGAGTACGCACCCCTGAGGGGACCTCTTGTTGAGGATCAGCGTGGCAGATGTGTTGTTACCTACCCTTACCACCTGGTGGCGGCCCGTCTAGAAGTCCAGGATCCAGTTGCAGAGGGAGGTGTTTAGTCCCAGGGTCCTTAGCTTAGTGATGAGCTTTGAGGGCACTATGGTGTTGAACACTGAGCTGTAGTCAATGAATAGCATTCTCACGTAGGTGTTCCTTTTGTCCAGGTGGGAAAGGGCAGTGTGGAGTGCAATAGAGTTTGCGTCATCTGTGGATCTGTTGGGGCGGTATGCAAATTGGAGTGGGTCTGGGGTTTCTGGGATAATGGTGTTGACGTGAGCCATTACCAGCCTTTCAAAGCACTTCATGGCTACAGACATGAGTACTACGGGTTGGTAGTCATTTAGGCAGGTTACCTTGGTGTTCTTGGGCACAGGGACTATGGTGGTCTGCTTGAAACATTGTAGGTATTACAGACTCAGTCAGGGACATGTTGAAAATGTCAGTGAAGACACTTGCCAGTTGGTCAGCGCATGCTCGGAGTATATGTCTTTGTAATCCGTCTGGCCCTGCGGCCTTATGAATGTTGACCTGTTTAAAGGTCTTATTCACATCGGCAATGGAGAGCGTGATCACACAGTCGTCCGGAACAGCTGGGGCTCTCATGCATGCTTCTGTGTTGCTTGCCTCGAAGCACGCATAGGCTCGTGTCACTGGGCAGCTCGAGGCTGTGCTTCCCGTTGTAGTCCGTAGTAGTTTTCAAGCCCTGCCACATCCGACGAGCGTCGGAGCCGGTGTAGTATGATTCAATCTTAGTCCTGTATTGATGCTTTGCCTGTTTGATGGTTCGTCGGAGGGCATAGTGGGATTTCTTATAAGCGTCCGGGTTAGAGTCCCGCTCCTTGAAAGCGGCAGCTCTACCCTTTTAGCTCAGTGCGGATGTTGCATGTAATCCATGGCTTCTGGTTGGGGTATGTACGTACGGTCACTGTGGGGACGACGTCATCGATGCACTTATTGATTAAGCCGGTGACTGATGTGGTATACTCCTCAATGCCATCGGATGAGTCCCGGGAACATATTGCATTCTGTGCTAGCAAAATAGTCCTGTAGCTTAGCATCTGCGTCATCTGACCACTTCCATATTAAGCGAGTCACTGGTACTTTCTGCTTTAGTTTTTGCTTGTACGCAGGAATCAGGAGGATAGAGTTATGGTCAGATTTGCCAAATGGAGGGTGAGGGAGAGCTTTGTATGCGTCTCTGTGTGTGGAGGAAAGGTGGTCTAGAGTTTGTTTTCCTCTGGTTGCACATGTAACATGCTGGTAGAAATGAGGTAAAACGAATTTAAGTTTCACTGCATTAAAGTCCTCTGCCACTAGGAGTGCCGCCTCTGGATGAGCATTTCCCTGTTTGCTTATGGCCTTATACAGCTTGTTGAGTGTGGTCTTAGTGCCAGCATCGGTTTGTGGTGGTAAATAGACAGCTATGAAAAATATAGATGAAAACTCTCTTGGTAGATAGTGTGGTCTACAGCTTCATGAGATACTCTACCTCAGGCGAGCAAAACCTTGAGACTTCCTTAATATTACATTTCGTGCACCAGCTGTTGTTTACAAATATACACAGACCGCCACCCCTTGTCTTACCGGAGGCAGCTGTTCTATCCTGCCGATGCAGCGTATAGCCTGCCAGCTGTATGTTGTCCATGTCGTCGTTCAGCCACGACTCAGTGAAACATAAGATATTACAGTTTTTAATGTTCCGTTGGTAGGATAGTCTTGATCAGAGCTCATCCAGTTTATTCTCCAGTGATTGCACGTTGGCCAATAGGACGGATGGTAGAGGCGGGTTACCCACTCGCCGACTAATTCTTACAATGCACCCTGACCTAGGTCCCCTATATCTCTGTCTCTTTTTCATGCGAATGACAGGGGATTTGGGTGAAGTAATCCTTCGCGTCCGACTCGTTAAAGAATAAATTTTCGTCCAGTACGAGGTGAATAATCACTGTTCTGATATCCAGATGCTCTTTTACGGTCATAAGAGACGGTGGCAGAAACAATTATGTACAAAATAAGTTACAGACAACGCGAAAAAACACACACACAATAGCACAATTGGTTAGGAGCCCGTAAAACAGCAGCCATCTCCTCCGGCGCCATTATATAGGGAATAGGGTGCCATTTGGGACACACCCCCTAGCCTTGTCTTTATTATAAATGGACCCCTCTGTTGTGTCCCTGCAGTGGAGGGCTAGGTGGTGTCCCAACGTTACAGTGCTGTTACTGGCTCTCTCCTAGCCTCGTCTACTGACCCCTCTTGTCTCCCTGCAGCTACTTCATGGTAGACACGGAGGGGAAGGTGTTGTCCCAGCAGAAGGGGACGTTCCGCAGTAACTGCATGGACTGTCTGGACCGCACCAACGTCATCCAGAGCATGCTGGCCCGCCGCTCCATACAGTCCCAGCTACAGGTAGGAAGTCCTCCAGAGCTGGACCCGCCGCTCCATACAGTCCCAGCTACAGGTAGGAAGTCCTCCAGAGCTGGCCCGCCGCTCCATACAGTCCCAGCTACAGGTAGGAAGTCCTCCAGAGCTGGCCCGCCGCTCCATACAGTCCCAGCTACAGGTAGGAAGTCCTCCAGAGCTGGCCCACCGCTCCATACAGTCCCAGCTACAGGTAGGAAGTCCTCCAGAGCTGGCCCGCCGCTCCATATAGTCCCAGCTACAGGTAGTAAGTCCTCCAGAGCTGGCCCGCCGCTCCATACAGTCCCAGCTACAGGTAGTAAGTCCTCTAGAACTGGCCCGCCGCTCCATACAGTCCCAGCTACAGGTAGTAAGTCCTCCAGAGCTGGCCCACCCTCCATACAGTCCCAGCTACAGGTAGTAAGTCCTCCAGAGCTGGCCCGCCGCTCCATACAGTCCCAGCTACATGTGTGTGGATGGTATACGCTTATTTTTGCTAGACAGTTCACTCCGATGGAGCAGGCAGAGTACCCCATTCTACCTCCATACTGTCCCAGCTGCAGGAGTGTGGGAGTTACACTTACACTCAGAGGGACCCTTTTTACTGCCTAATATGTTAATTTATACAGTCCCAGCCACAGGTAGGAGCTAGGAGGGTTGCACTCATTATCACTTGAAGAAAAGGGAAACCTGCACACTGCTCTGCAGTAGTATTTAAACCCATTATTTCTTGACAGATACTCAGCGACCAGGCAGAGTACTTTCACACACTGTGGGAGTTATCATTCTGACAGTTCCATAAGAGAACAAACTAAGAAAGTTATAATAATAATAATAATAATATGCCATTTAGCAGACGCTTTTATCCAGAGCGACTTACAGTCATGCGTGCATACATTTTTTGTGTATGGGTGGTCCCGGGGATCGAACCCACTACCTTTGGCGTTACAAGCGCTGTGCTCTACCAGCTGAGCTACAGAGGGTTGAGAGGAGTTGAACAAAGGGTTGCTCAAAGACAACCAGTAGCTACTGTTTCACACAGTTGGATACATTATTATTGACAGTTTCTTTTAGAGAACAAGCTGAAAGACTGAGCCCTGTCCCTAGTTCCCTACCTTATCCCCTTCTAAATGGACTTATGTATGCTTGTTTGGTGTTTGTCCACAGAGGATGGGTGTCCTGCATGTGGCCCAGCGGATTGAGGAGCAGGCTGATTTCGAGAAGATCTACAAGAATGGTAAGTGGCCACCCTCTACAGCACATGAATGGCAGCTACTTTAAGCCTTTTCACACTGCATTCTCTTAGGCCAGGGGTATCACTAACCCTGGGTTAAACTTAGCCCCGGGCTAAGGGGGCTGTCAGCCCTGGGCTAAGGGGCTAAGGGGGCTGTCAGCCCCGGACTAAGGGGGCTGTCAGCCCCGGGTTAAGGGTGCTGTCAGCCCCGGGCTAAGGAGGCTGTCAGCCCCGGGCTAAGGGTGCTGTCAGCCCCGGGCTAAGGGTGCTGTCAGCCCCGGGCTAAGGGTGCTGTCAGCCCCGGGCTAAGTGTAGTGTGTGAACGCAGCTTTTGAGTGTCCTATGAGGTTGATCTGTCTGGTGTGTCACACTGCTCTGCTAATAATGTCTGTCTGTTTTCGGTGCTAGCTTGGGCTGATAATGCCAACGCATGCGCCAAACAGTACGCTGGTACAGGAGCCCTGAAGACCGACTTCACAAGGTATAGAAATGCGTTTCGGTGTGCTGCTGCCTTCAGAAAGTGTTCTCACCCCTTGACTTAGTCCACATTTTGTTGTGTTACAGCCTGAATTTCAAATGGATTAAATTGAGATTTTGTGTCACTGGCCTACACACAATACCCCATAATGTCAAATTAATTAAAAATGAAAAGCTGAAATGTCTTGAATCAATAAGTATTCAACCCCTTTGTTATGACAAGCCTAAATAAGTTCAGGAGTAAACATTTGCTTAACAAGTCACATAATAAGTTGCATGGACTCACTCTGTGTGCAATAATAGTGTTTAACATGATGTACCCCACACATACAATTATCTGTAAAGTCCCTCGGTCGAGCAGTGAATTTCAAGCACAGATTCAACCACAAAGACCAGGGATGTTTTCCAATGCCTCGCAAAGAAGGGTACCTATTGGTAGATGGTTAAAAAAAAAGCAGACATTTGAATATCCCTTTGAGCATGGTAAAGTTATTAAGTACACCTTGGATGGTGTATCAATACACCCAGTCACTACAAAGATACAGGCATCCTTCCTAACTCAGTTGCCGGAGAGGAAGGAAACCGCTCAAGGAGTTCACCATGAGGCCAATGGTGACTTTAAAACAGTTACAGAGTTTAATGGCTGTGATAGGAGAAAACTGAGTACGGATCAACAAAATTGTAGTTACTCCACAATACTAACCTTAACTTTTTGTCCTCAATACAAAGTGTTATGTTTGGGGTAAATCCAATAAAACACATTACTGAGTACCACGCTTCATATTTACAAGCATGTTGGTGGCTGCATCATGTAATGGGTATTTTCATTTTTTTTGTAACCTTTATTTAACTAGGCAAGTCAGTTAAGAACAAATTCTTATTTACAATGACGGCCTACACCGGCCAAACCCGGACGACGCTGGGCCAATTGTGCGCCGCCCTATGGGACTCCCAATCACGGCCGGTTGTGATACAGCCTGGAATCGAACCAGGGGGTCTGTAGTGATGCCTCAAGCACTGAGATGCAGTGCCTTAGACCGCTGCGCCACTCGGGAGCCCATACCCCCTCGGTATGCTTCTAATCGTTAAGGACTGGGGAGTTTCTCAGGATATAAAATCATCGGAATGGAGCTAAGCACAGGCAAAATCCTAGAAAAAAACCTGGTTCAGTCTGCTTTCCATCAGACACTGGGAGATTAATTCACCTTTCAGCAGTACAATAACCTAAAACACAAGGCCAAATCTACACTGGAGTTGCTTACCAAGAAGACAGTGAATGTTCCTGAGTGGCCGAGTTAGTTTTGACTTAAATCTACTTGAAAATCTATGGCAAGACTTGAAAATGGTTGTCTAGCAATTTGACAAAGCTTGAAGAATTTTGAAAAAAATCATGGGTAAATGTTGCACAATCCAAGTGTGGAAAGCTCTTAGAGACTTACCCAGAAACACTCACAGCTGTAATTGGTGCCAAAGGTGCTTCTACAAAGTATACTCATGGGTGTGAATGCTTATGTAAATTAGATATGTATGTATTTTATTTTCAATACATTTGCAAACATTTCTACAAACATGTTTTCACTTTGTCATTATGGAGTATTGTGTGTAGATGGGTGAGAGAGAAAAAATCAATTTAATCCTTTTTTAAATTCAGGCTGTAACACAACACAATGCGGAATAAGTCAAGGGGTATGAATACTTTATGAAGGCACTGTATACAGGCCTGCATGTCAGTGTACCTCTGACCTCTGAAATATATACAGGCCTGCATGTCTCCAGAGACTATGCTCGTGTGTTTGGAGGTCAACTGTTGGTTGTGTGGCTTCAATTTGAAGTCACTTTTCTTTCATTTCTATGCAGACTGTCTACATTTTTACATTTACATTTTAGTCATTTAGCAGACGCTCTTATCCAGAGCGACTTACAGTTAAGTGAGTGCATACATAATTTTTTTCATACTGGCCCCCCGTGGGAATCGAACCCACAACCCTGGCGTTTGCAAACGCCATGCTCTACCAACTGAGCTACATCCCCTGCCGGCCATTCCCTCCCCTACCCTGGACGACGCTGGGCCAATTGTGCGCCGCCCCATGGGTCTCCCGGTCGCGGCCGGCCACGACAGAGCCTGGATTCGAACCAGGATCTCTAGTGGCACAGTTAGCACTGCGATGCGGCACCTTAGACCACTGCGCCACTCGGGAGCTAGGTACTAGCTGGTTGGTGGATAATCTCCGTGTGGCCACGAGCTGTTGATGGATGTTATTTCTCCTTCAGCAGATTGATGCCATTAGTATTGGGGCAGACAGTCTGGCTACTTGCTTGCTGGTGACTGTATCACTCGTTGTTGTGTTGACAGTGTCTGTTATTGATGGTTGTTGTTTCCTGTCCTCCGCCAGGACAGGGAAGAGGACCCAGATGGGTCTGGTGATGGATGGAGTCAACTCTGCCATTCGCTACTACAAGAACAACTTCTCTGACGGCTTCCGACAAGTACGTCTGATTTTTTCAGTTTAAAGGCCTAGAAAAAAGGACGTGTTCCTTTTGTGAACTACATAAGGTAGTCACAGCAATAAATAATCAGATATCTACTGTGTAGTTGATACATTTGCTGCTATAGACCAATATCGTTTTCCTCTAAAATCATAATTTTACAAAAACTGAACATAATTCTTCATCCATGTTTTTGTAGAGAGACATGGAGATATTTCGCTGTGTTCTTTTGTCAGTCCTTTAAAGAGTAAATAAAATAGTATTTGTGTGTCTTGTCTCCAGGATTCCATTGATTTGTTCCTTGGAAACTACGCTGTTGATGAAACAGACGGACCCACTCCACTCCGCATCCAGAAGGACTGGAAGTTCCTCACGGTCAGTTGCCTCTCCCCATCTCACAGTAGTAATCAAATCAAAAAATCAAAATTGTATTTGTCACATGCGCCGAATACAACCGGTGTGTAGGCCTTTTCAGTGAAATGCTTACTTACAAGCCCTTAACCAACAATGCAGTTTTAAGAAAAATAAGTGTTAAGTAAAAAATAGTTAAGTAGAAAATTAAAGAGCAGCAATAAAATAACAGTAGCGAGGCTATGAACAGGGGGTACCGGTACAAAGTCAATGTGCAGGGGCACAGGTTAGTCGAGGTAATTGAGGTAATATCTACATGTAAAGGGATGTATCATAGGGGTGAGAGGTGGGGAGAGGCCTTTTTGGGATGTCCTGGCACCAGTCAGGATGCCAAGACTGATCATCATGTTTTGTGATTCACTTTACACGACTAAATCTATGGTACTCTCCTCCATTTTAATACCGAGTTCTGCTTCCCCCCCCCCCCCCCCCCCCCCCCCAAACTACGAATAATATATTTTAGTCATCTTTGTCTTGCAGCTGCCCATCATCATGGTGGTGGCGTTCTCTATGTGTATCATCTGCCTCCTCATGGCTGGTAAGAAAACCACTGTTGATCTCCATCTGACAACCCCTTGTCTAAAGGAACATTTTAGCCTTTTAACTCTAGCCATATTAACCTCAGGACACAAGGGCATGCTAGCTTGTTCTGTTTTTGTCTATATCTTTAAAATGTTTCATCTCTGGTCACAAAAATGTATATATTTGTTATGGTCTCTGACAAGTGTCCCCCTCTGTCTCTTTGTGTCCTTGATATGTGTTGTTCTCTGACGAGTGGTGTCCCCCTCTGTCTCTTTGTGTCCTTGATATGTGTTGTTCTCTGACAAGTGTCCCCCTCTGTCTTTTTGTGTCCTTGATATGTGTTGTTCTCTGACAAGTGTCCCCCTCTGTCTCTTTGTGTCCTTGATATGTGTTGTTCTCTGACGAGTGGTGTCCCCCTCTGTCTCTTTGTGTCCTTGATATGTGTTGTTCTCTGACAAGTGTCCCCCTCTGTCTCTTTGTGTCCTTGATATGTGTTGTTCTCTGACAAGTGTCCCCCTCTGTCTCTGTGTCATTTATGTGTTGTTCTCTGACGAGTGTCCCCCTCTGTCTCTGTGTCCTTGATATGTGTTGTTCTCTGACGAGTGGTGTCCCCATCTGTGTCTCTGTGTCCTTGATATTTGTTGTTCTCTGACAAGTGTCCCCCTCTGTCTCTTTGTATCCTTGATATTTGTTGTTCTCTGACAAGTGTCCCCCTCTGTCTCTGTGTCCCCCTCTGTCTCTTTGTGTCCTTGATATGTGTTGTTCTCTGGCGAGTGTCCCTCTCTGTCTCTTTGTATCTGACGAGTGGTGTCCCTCTCTCTTTCCCAGGTGACACGTGGACTGAGACCCTGGCGTACGTGTTGTTCTGGGGCACTGCTGCTGCAGTCACCGCTGCCGTCATAGTCTTCAACGGCCGTGACTTTGTGGACGCCCCCAAACTGGTGCAGAAAGAGAAGATGGACTGAATGTGTGTTTGTGGAAAGCAGCTCGGCCCAGCGGACTCCTATACCTCTTCATCTTCATCCAACTCTTCTTCCTCCCGGCTGCTTGAGGCTCGGACACTGTACTGACCTGCTGCTCTCCACACTGTCCTCCTAGTGTGCATCCCAAATGGCACCCTATTCCCTATATAGTGCACTGGAATAGGGTGCCATTTGGCACAGCGCCTTAGAGTTTCCATTGGGGTTTCTACTCTAACCCACTGAAGCCGCTCTGAACTCTACAGTCTCCTATCAGACTCTGGCCTCCTTCACTTCCTTCCTATCCCACATTCCTTAGATCATGATGTATACTGACCTTTTATTATGTTTAATTTCTCTGTGTTGGACAAGGTTGGTGTACGTTCGGTCAACCTTGGTGATGGTTTAACCAACTGAAGGCATATGGTAATAGTTAGTTATTACAGAGGTCTCAGAAAACTTTTGATGGCACTTTAGTGAATTGCAGCAGAATTCTTCATTTTCCATGAAAGCAACTTAAAAACAAGACAATGTTCAATATTCTTGTTATACATTAATTAATGGTTTCTTTGGTTTTAACGTTTCTGTTTACTGTAATTATAATGCAGTGATGTCTTTTAAACAATAGGAATCTACAGAGAAACGTTTGGCACTTTCACATGCACTAGAATGACTGGGGTACATCGTTTAGAAAGATAACATGTTTTAGTTGTTCTCTTGAATGTAAGCCTTACTAAATAAGCCTTACTAAACGACTAATTTAAAGAACATCTAAACTAGCTAGTTCTCCTAGAGAAGAATGACGTGGGGGTCGGGGGGGACAATGTATTCCTATTATGAACTTAAATCATGCAGTAGTATTTATTATGATTCTATTTTTAAGTAAGGGTTTCTTGCTTATCTTACCATCTTGTTTTGGCACTTTGGGTGAACATGAAATAAGTTGCACATAGTATGTGATCTGAGCGGTGTGAGATGTTGTTAATTCATTTAAGCAATAAGGCCCGAGGGGGTGTGGTATATGGCCAATATACCACGGCTAAGGGTTGTTCTTAGGCACGACGCAACGCAAAGCCATATACCACAAACCCCCCGAGGTGCCTTATTGCTATTATAAACTGGTTACCAACGTAATTAGAGCAGTATAAAAAAAAAAAAGTGTCCTACCCATGGTATACGATTTGATATACCACGGCTTTCAGCCAATCAGCATTCAGGGCTGGAACCACCCAGTTTATGATGTTGGTTAAAGGGTAGTCACCATATCATAGTTCTGTCCTAATAACCTTGACTTGTCAGTGTTTTCTTGTTGACCTCTCACAGTAATTTGGGATTGTTATGCTCCAGATACAGAATTTAAAACCACACGTTAGACCTCTACTCTTACAAGCTTGCCCCTCCATGATTGAGGGAGTGGACATAACCATTCCTTGTTATCGTGAATATGTTTGAATATGATTTATAATCTTAATGGTTTTCAGGCTTTTTTCCCCAGACTTTCTGTATTCAATAGATTGTTTTGTAGCTCTGAATATTTCCATCTTGCATATGCAGTGTTGAGTACTTATTCTAAATACAGAAGTGGAGGTCATTGCATAAATATTTTTGAACGTAATTGCAATTCCATTGCTCCTTAGAATGTATTATTGTAATCTGCCAGTGATTTACTACAAAATAAGTTTTAGCTCAATTAGAATTATGTTTTAGTTAATATGCTAGAATTAATATTTATTCTAGCTGGGCAGTGGTAACTACAAAGAGGGGAGGACCAACTCAAGCTTGTCTACTTTGATACCGTTATGTCTGTGTTTCCATGAACATATCCTTGTAATTATAGATGCTATATATTTTACAATGAGATTGTACGCTGAGCACTTATTTGCAAAGTCTATACTAAATGTAAAGATCAAGTAGTGATTTTTGTCTGAGTGAGAATTTAGAAATGTTTACCTGATCTTCTGTGTGAGTCAACAGCATTTTAAAGGTGTATGATTTGCCTGGTGAATATTTTTTGCTTATATGGGGATTGGAAACAATCTTGATTTATGTTTTTAATATTTATCTGACACAGGAGGCTGGTAGCACATTAATTGGGGAGGATGGGCTTGTTGTAATGAGTGGAATGGTACCGAACGTGTTTCCATGTGTTTGATGCCATTCCATTTACTCCGTTCCACAATTATTATGAGCCGTCCTCCCCTCAGCAGCCTCCACTGCTTTCAGAATATTAGATGTATTTTGGAATACGGTTGTTTCCGTGAATGGATTAATAGTGGTAGTGGATGATTTTATTTTTTAAATCATATTTTTTTCCTCTGTCACCATTCCTTGGTTGGTATTCAAAACCCTGAACATTCCCATATGACCATAATACATGTAACTGGGGCTGCGATGTAGCCTGGTCCCAGATCTGTTTGTGCCGTCATGCCAAATCAATGAGTGACATGGAGTTGGCATGATAGCACAAACAGACTGGAACCCAGGCTAGCTATGAAGACCCTGGCCAGTAAATCAACTTGGTTGAGGTTAGTTGTAGACTTTTACATTTTGCAATTGTAAGTGGTGGGCTGTTACTATGAAACTAGTTCTCTATCTTCATTGGTTTACCAGAAAGGCCATATTCCCAATTGGTGCGGTATTTTTTTTTTTTGAAATGACCATTGAATAAAAATAAATAACCAAGTACTGCCACTGGCAAGGACAGGTTACTGAGTGGTTCAGGGGTATGACAGGATCAGTAGCTTGCTACAGTAGTTTGATTGTAAAACTTGACATCAAATGATTATACTTCTAGCCAATCAGATGGAAATAAGTAAACACTATAGTGAAATATGTAAGATCTAATTCACAATGTCATTGAGAGGGCAGTTGCAAATGTGCTATTTCATCATGAATGGTCATATACTCGAATAGGCCATCCTACCTGTCCCTAGCCCAATATTGGACTAAAGGAGCTTAACATTACTCCTTAGTCCAAGGACTTTACATGTTCTGCAAATTGGCTCTGGACGCAAAAACAGCCAAATACTCCCTCTAAACGTGAATCGATTCTCAATGGCTGTACGGTTATAGAAACTTAAATCCCTCTACTTTCATATCACATCAAAATAATTTCACTAATGCAAAATACACACTTTACTGTGCACTGTTTTAACAGTTGCAGCCAACAGTAATGTTCAGTGACACGTTTGTGGCGTCTGTCTTCCGTTTACACAGGTGTTCAGAGACGCAGATAGCTAATTACCAAAGGTAGTCCACTCTGTCTTCCATCTGTGAGCTGTAACATGGAAATACGGCCAGTGGGAAGCCTCATTTTTAAAAACAATTATTTCTCGCTGATATGAAAGATAAGGTCCTTATGCTTCCATAACCATACTGCAAGCGATGCATGTTAATGTTCAGACCGAGCGTCGTGGCTCTTAACAAAACTGCCCCCCTACAGAAGACTCCTTTGTCCAATGACTCTTATGTGTTAATGTATTTGAACTAAGTCATGATCAAGGGCTAACCTATCCCCAATGTCCTAGGACTAGGTGATGACCTTGCTGTGAATAAAATTAAACTGTCAATTTACACATAATTCTCCACTTGTTTGATTCCATATAAGAGGTTTATGGATTATTTATAAATAAACTAACACTGTTTTGTGTTCAAGTTTATATTTTTTTAAAATATTTTTGGGGTGCATGACAAGGAGTGGCATTGTGGCACAAACAGTTATATTTTCTGTTGTATTTTTGACTTTATGTTTTGTTTTACCCCATATGTAACTCTGTGTTGTGTTTTTATCGCACTGTTTTGCTTTATCTTGGCCAGGTCGCAGTTGTAAATGAGAACTTTTCTCAACTGGCTTCCCTGGTTAAATAAAGGTTAAATAAATAAATAAAACAGATCTGGGATCAGGCTAGAGAGCAGTCAATTGGACTTGTTTTGGAAGCGCATGCGCAGAAACGTAACTTTCCTGTTGCTTATTCCGATCCGACACTTGCAAGGTGTTGCATGTGTTTCATTTCGAGGGTTCACAACTGTAAATGTATGTAAAGAAAGCTTTACAATTTCAAGTCTAAAGCATGAGCACACTATGGATGGGAAACGTGAGTATTGAACCATTTCAGTCGACGTTTTTAACACTTCAGCTTGTAGCTAGCTAGGCTTAGCTTCCGCATGTTTGCTAGCATACTAGTTAGCCAGCTAGTAGCTACATACATGACGTTAAGTGGCTAGTTAGCTAACTGATTTGGTTTATTAGTGCTAAGCGAACTTGATACAGATGGAACATTTTGACACCTAATTGGTAGCTAAACACAGCCTTTATGATATTTGCAGGTGACGTGTGGTAGCTAACTGTTGTCTATGCTTTAGCTAACCTTAGCATGTTATGACAACGTTTGGCTGTGTTTGTTTTGGTAGTTAGAGCCCTACATGGATGAGAAGTTCATAACCCGAGCCTTCGGCACCATGGGGGAGTTGGTGGTGAGTGTGCGGATTATACGCAACAAGATGACTGGGTGAGTATTTTAGCTAACGTTAGGGCGTTTGACCTGAAAGTCTGAAAGTGTCGAACTAGTAACGTTAGCTACACTAGCCATACCAATCTGTAGCCAGGACAAACGTATTTTCACGATTTCACTAATATAATCGAAATCAATCAAATCATAGCACGTTTTTGGCTCATTAAGTAATTTTTACCTGATAAAGTAGAATCCTGTTGGAAAATAATGTTAAAAGTACCGTTTATACTGCTAAAACATAACATGCATTGAAAATGATACTTTAGCAGCTTCCTGTTGTCATGGCTTTTTGAGTTATGACCGAGTGTCAAAACACTGATTTTTAGATGTACAAAGTCATAATCAGTATGCTGAAATAAATTGTGATATTTTGAAGACCAATACATAAATTACTCCCTACACACGTCACACTTGTGTTCAGATTACTTGTATTTTGCTAAATGAGTACCTTCTAAACAGCACACCCACCAATATTTACGAAGTGGTCACTCAAGACTGGAATTGATTAGCTTGTTTTACTGTAATCAATAGCGCGTGCAAATGAGTCACTCACATCGATATTGTCTTGAAATCAATGGAACTGGGACAATAACCGCAGCAACATGTACCGTTTGCGCTCTTCTAGCGGTTAAGAGCGTTGGGCCAGTAACCGGAAGGTCTCCGGTTCGAATCCCAGAGCCGACTAGGTTAACAGTCTCTGTGCCCTTGAGCAAGGCACTTAACCATAATTGTAAATCTGCTGTAAGTTGCTCTGGATAAGAGCGTCTGCTAAATGACTCAAATGTAAATGTAATGAACTTCGGTATACTACATGTATCTGTTGATAGATTACAACCTGTAGTAGTCATTTATCAATTTATATATCTGAGGAAATTATTTAGGTAGATGGCCAATACGGAAAAGGAAATGCAACATTTTTTTTGACTGGATAATTCCAACAAATCACCACCTCACATCAGTTTCTAAATAGAGACAGGGGTTGGCTTTCTTTTAAATGATAGCTTAACTCTCAAATCCATGAATTCAATATTATTATTATTATTTTATAGGAGGAGCAGACGTTGTCTGAAAATGACAGCTACGTTCTAAAGCCTCACTTACACTTACCATAAGCACTCCGTTGCACCGGATGTCATTAATTTGAATGGGGACCGTCCACAACGGAGTAGAATCGCAACGCCCCGTTGCGATTTGAAGGCTCCGTTGCGAGACGGACGCGGCATACTTTGAATTTTTCAGTCTGGCCAGAGTCCGTCAAAGAACAGGAAGTTACCAAACTACAAAAGTAGTGAAAATATGTGGTTTTTGACGATGGGGTTTATGAGATGCTAGTAACTTGTAAACAATTACCCATTCCTATAAGTTAGTTTATTGTGATGGTAATGACGTTTGCGTGTAACGGAGTGCTCATGGGTAATATGAACAAGGCTTAAGTTCCACTACGGACTGGATCGAGTATGACAAAAACACTGGTATTAAACCGAAGTTCAGTTTTTTAAGCAATCGATTTTGTGAGGTCATGACGACTAGAAACATTTTATGCTAACGTCACCAATTGGGGGTTTGAATGCAACATTGGACTGATATTCCTTCTCTGTGTTGCTCATTAGTAGTGGTGCAGCAGGTTACTGCTTCGTGGAGCTGACCGATGAAGCCACAGCTGAGAGGTGTCTTCGTAAAGTCAATGGAAAAGCACTACCAGGAGCCACACCAGTAAATATACCATTTAACAAAGCTACTTGGATGTTATGGATTCTAGCAAGCGTCCCAAATGGCACCCTATCCCCTATATAGTTCACTACTTTTGACCAGAGCCTATTGGGATGCAGACCTAGATTGTAACATGCTGCCTTTTGGTGACTTGAGCCAAACAGAAGATCTGTATGCAATTTGCCACATTTTAGCTTTTGTATACATTTAATGCATATTGTCATCATGTTGTAAATGAACGTTTAAGGGAAGCCTTTTTGTACTTCACAGCCTAGAAGATTCAAGTTAAACCGGGCCACCTTTGGGAAGCAAGGAGAAAGCGGGTATATCAACAAGCTTGATTGTAAGTCAAACTATATGTCATGAGATGCCATATAGAAACATTGGAAATGAACAACTCCTTTTCTCTCTCCGCTGCAGTCCACTCTACTCTCTGTTCGTTGGAGATCTCACACCTGAAGTGGATGACGGGATGCTGTACGAGTTCTTCTACAACCGCTATCCATCCTGTCGCGGGGGGAAGGTGGTGCTGGACGGCACGGGAAACTCCAAGTGAGTCCAGGAGGATATTATAATCACTATAGCTGGGTTTCCATACATCCAGGTTTATGTGATATGATGGCATGTGAATACAGTTGACAAGGCTATTTCCACTACCACTGCATTCACTACATCCACTGTTACTATTCCACTAACGGCTGTCCTACGACTATTTATAATATGGTCACTACTTTTGCACTAACAATTTAAATGTCTAAACTTCTTTCCACTACCCAAAAAAGTATTCACAGCTGAAGCGTTGTAGTTATTTACTTACTTGCTTGTCTGAATGTTTCTCTTGTCTCCAGGGGTTGTGGGTTCGTCCAGTTCCCAGACCAGAGGCTTCAGAAGCTGGCTCTGGAGGAGTGTCAGGGAGCGGTGGGGCTCGGGAGCAAGGCACTACGACTGAGCCTAGCTGCTAACAAGTGAGTTACACTTCAGTTCAGTTCTTACTGTTACACTTCTATAAGCCGTCTCCAGACTCTCGTTCTTCATTCGTAAAACCAGGGTTGTAGCATAACCCATTTGTTTTCCAAATCACTTTTTACAGCCTACAGTGAGGGGAAAAAAGTATTTGATCCCCTGCTGATTTTGTACGTTTGCCCACTGACAAAGACATGATCAGTCTATAATTTTAATGGTAGGTTTATTTTAACAGTGAGAGGCAAAATAACAACAACAAAAATCCAGAAAAATGCATGTCAAAAATGTTATAAATTGATTTGCATTTTAATGAGGGAAATAAGTATTTGACCCCTCTGCAAAACATGACTTAGTACTTGGTGGCAAAACCCTTGTTGGCAATCACAGAGGTCAGATGTTTCTTGTAGTTGGCCACCAGGTTTGCACACATCTCAGGAGGGATTTTGTCCCACTCCTCTTTGCAGATCTTCTCCAAGTCATTAAGGTTTCGAGGCTGACGTTTGGCAACTCGAACCTTCAGCTCCCTCCACAGATTTTCTATGGGATTAAGGTCTGGAGACTGGCTAGGCCACTCCAGGACCTTAATGTGCCTCTTCTTGAGCCACTCCTTTGTTGCCTTGGCCGTGTGTTTTGGGTCATTGTCATGCTGGAATACCCATCCACGACCCATTTTCAATGCCCTGGCTGAGGGAAGGAGGTTCTCACCCAAGATTTGATGGTACATGGCCCCGTCCATCGTCCCTTTGATGCGGTGAAGTTGTCCTGTCCCCTTAGCATAAAAACACCCCCAAAGCATAATGTTTCCACCTCCATGTTTGACGGTGGGGATGGTGTTCTTGGGGTCATAGGCAGCATTCCTCCTCCTCCAAACACGGCGAGTTGAGTTGATGCCAAAGAGCTCCATTTTGGTCTCATCTGACCACAACACTTTCACCCAGTTCTCCTCTGAATCATTCAGATGTTCATTGGCAAACTTCAGACGGGCATGTATATGTGCTTTCTTGAGCAGGGGGACCTTGCGGACGCTGCAGGATTTCAGTCCTTCACGGCGTAGTGTGTTACCAATTGTTTTCTTGGTGACTATGGTCCCAGCTGCCTTGAGATCATTGACAAGATCCTCCCGTGTAGTTCTGGGCTGATTCCTCACCGTTCTCATGATCATTGCAACTCCACGAGGTGAGATCTTGCATGGAGCCCCAGGCCGAGGGAGATTGACAGTTATTTTGTGTTTCTTCCATTTGCGAATAATCGCACCAACTGTTGTCACCTTCTCACCAAGCTGCTTGGCGATGGTCTTGCAGCCCATTCCAGCCTTGTGTAGGTCTACAATCTTGTCCCTGACATCCTTGGAGAGCTCTTTGGTCTTGGCCATGGTGGAGAGTTTGGAATCTGATTGATTGCTAATTTGGACAGGTGTCTTTTATACAGGTAACAAACTGAGATTAGGAGCACTCCCTTTAAGAGTGTGCTCCTAATCTCAGCTCCCTACCTTTATAAAAGACACCTGGGAGCCAGAAATCTTTCTGATTGAGAGGGGGTCAAATACTTATTTCCCTCATTAAAATGCAAATCAATTTATAACATTTTTGACATGCGTTTTTCTGGATTTGTTTGTTGTTATTCTGTCTCTCACTGTTCAAATAAACCTACCATTAAAATTATAGACTGATCATTTCTTTGTCAGTGGGCAAACGTACAAAATCAGCAGGGGATCAAATACTTTTTTCCCTCACTGTATATACTGTCCACTGCATGACCAAAAGTATGTGGACACCTGCTCGTCGAACATCTCATTCCAAAATCATGGGCATTAATATGGAGTTGGTCCCCCCTTTGCTGCTATAACAGCCTCCACTCTTCTGGGAAGGCTTGCCACTAGATGTTGGAACATTGCTGCGGGGACTTGCTTCTATTCAGCCACAAGAGTATTAGAGAGGTCGGGCACTGATGTTGGGCGATTAGGCCCGCAGTCGACGTTCCAAGTCATCCCAAAAGTGTTCGATGGGGTTGAGGTCAGGGCTCTGTACAAGTGTTTAGAAACATCTACTATTCTTATTTACAATAAAAGTGACTCCAAAATGACACAATACATAATTTACCATTCATTTCTATTGGGCACAAAATGTATTCACTAACTGTAAGTCGCTCTGGATAAGAGCGTCTGCTAAATGACTAAAATGTAAATGTATGGGTAGAGTTAAAGTGACTATGCATAGATAAACAGAGTAGCAGCAGCGTAAAAGAGGGGGTGTGGTGGGGGGGACAATGCAATAGTCCGGGTAGCCATGATTAGCTGTTCAGGAGTCTTATGGCTTGGGGGTAGAAGCTGTTAAGAAACCTTTTGGCTGTTGTTGCTCACTGAGCTCTTCAGTAAGGCCATTCTACTGCCAATGTTTGTCTTTGGAGATTTTATACACTTGTCATGTGGCTGAAATGGCTGAACCACTAATTTGAAGGGGTGTCCACATACTTGTGTATATAGTGTATGTTTAGCTGTATTTGTATATCCAATATTGTTTCACTATTCCCCTCCTCAGTCAAGAAGACCTGAGCAGAGTATCTTTCCCCCAAAATATCAGTTTTTCAACTCCTAAAGAGATGGGTTTAATCATTGTCCGATTCCTCGGTTCCCAATAATCTCTCTCTCTCTCTCTCTTTCTCTTTCTCTTTCCTTCCTTCCTTTAGAACGCGTCATAATCAATCAGACAACAGGGGGTGGGGGTCACATGGAGGAGGCTACAGACACAACCATAATCAATACAATCAACAGCCGTACGGTGGTGGATGGGGCTCATGGGGCTACGACCAGAATGGAGGCAACTATGACGGCTACAACTATAACCAGTATGATTACACTCAGAATCCTGTACAGGTAAGATTGCTGCTCTGCTTCCCCTTTGCTGGAGATATGTTACGTAGCTCAACGTCACTACTTCTTCATAGACATGCGATGTTACCGACCTTGTGTTTTCCTTCGACTTTTCAATATACACAGTCAGTCTATTAACCGACTCATTTAACGTTTCAGGAAAATGAAGCTGATGAAGATGATGGTCTGGAAGGTTAGTGTTTTTGTTTTTCTACTCCTTTTTCTCCAGACTAGTGTGGCCAATGATCTATGAGGAATGTAGGTGGTTCTTAATGAACATAGATTGATGTACTGCACGTTCCAAGGTTTTAACAGTACATGTCATTAGCGGAGGCGAGTCGGACTCATGCTTTTGTCTTGAGGTAGCTCTGCCTGCAACTTCAGAATCATTGTCGCCCTCGACCCAAGGGGGGGGGGTAATTTCCTCTAGATCTAATGGTTAAGGCGTTTGTTTCCCGAGCGGGAGACTGGGGTTCAGATCCCACCTGTGACCGCAGCAGGGATCAAATCGTCACTGGCTGCCTTTCCCTCCATTGTAGATCCTAACCCAGAGCTGGATGTGGTGGAAGCCAACAGGAAGTTTATGGAACACAGCGAGGAACTGTATGATGCCCTTATCGAGTGCCACTGGCAACCCTTGGAATCCTCGGAACAGGCCTTTGGAACCACGAGTAGCCTTCCAGAACCTGTCTACTGTTGAGGCATAAAATGAAATGGCAATATCCTCTTTTGCCATGTTATTTGGCCTTTCATATTATTATTCTGTAGATGTTTGAGAATTGATTAGCTAAAGACATATCCCCAGTCCTTGACCATAACTGCCATTTGCTTACAGACATTATTTTTGTGTCAATTGACAAAAATGATTTATTTTGTGCATCTATTAATGTACACCTTTATTTTTTAAAAAAACAGTGGACACCTGGCCCATCCTGTACCTAAGAATAGCTTCCTGTTTTCATTTCTTATGCTTTGCTAAACCGCAAAGATGATGTTTGTATCCCAAATTACACACTATTCCCTATTTAGTGCAGCACTGCTTTTGGCCAGGGCCCACTATGGACTCTAGGGAATAGTGTGTCATTTGGGATACGTTCTTCTCAATTGAGGAGCAAGTGATTGTGTGATCTGCGGTGTTACTCTGCCTTCTGTCTGTGTTTGTAAAGTTAGAATAAATGTATCATGTTGCCAGGTAGAAATGTCTTATAGAATGTCCCAACCAAAAATGACGGGAGTTGTTTCCAGTCTCATAGAGTTTAGCAAAGTATAACATTGTGGAAAGCTGCAGATAGAAATGCCATGAATAGAGCCGACGTGATTCCTTCTACATGTCACAGTGGCATGTTTCTTCTCTTTTTCTATCTGAACGTTCGAAAACATTGTGTACTGCTGAATGCGCCCCGGTCTCTACTGAGCAAAGTGAGAGGGCTCAGCACTGGCCGGTTCCATCAGCAGAAAACCACATGACAGTCACAAGGTTTCCCAGTGACTGAAGGGGAGGCATGGGCTGCCATAGCCAGAGGGACCTCCATTGAATGAATCCCACGGTGGACAGGATTTGAGAGATTCTTTTGCATGACTAGGCCTACTCTGTTGAGTTTGTGTGAGTTTTTAGTTTCTGAATTCCTTTTTGTAATCCTCTTCTGCTCCCGAGTGAAAGTTGGGAACAGTTGTGAAAGACCTCTTCCTCCTTTTATTTTACTTTTATCTATGTAAATATTGTTTTTAACAATAAAATTACAATACCTTTTTTTTAAGCCCTTTTAAAAACAGATTTGATTGAATATCCACTTCATTACCGTACACTTTGCTCCCAACCAGGGGTTGTTTTGCCTGTATGCAATGACATCATATGACCATTTTGGACAACTGGTGTATATAATGACATGTTCATGTGCTAGTCAGAACTAGGAAACTCGGACATTTCTGCCTTGCTAACTGGATTGAACTTGGACGTTTATAACTACGACCAGTTAGCAGGTCGCACATTTCCTAGTTCCGACTGGCATTTGAATGCGGCATAAACACTTCATCGCTGACGCTATGTATTGGCGGTTGAGAGGCTTTGAAGCCACGGGTCGGGTTTATTGGCACTCTCCTGTAGGAGCAGCCCTCTATAGGAATGAATGGAATTCTACAGTATTTCAATTAAATATTTTAAGGACAAAATTACATGTATTTAAGTCTTGTTTGTTGTTGTTATAGTGGGGACAGTAACATTAGTATTCTCCAAAAAAAATACTTGAAGGATTTAAAAATATATATTTGTTAATTTTTTTATGTTGAGCTCACATAACTTAAAAGTATGCATTACGGTGTCTGTAATAGAATAAACGTGTCAAAAACTAATGTAGACATTAAATAAATGCATTTTTATAGCTTACAAAATATTTTCTACAATGGAGTACCACAAAAATGGCTGCGCGGTGGATTAACGCAGCGGTCCCTGTCAGCAGAGAGGAAGAGGAAGCGAGAGGCTCAACTCGGTGGAACTCTGTCTCCCTCCAGCAGGTGGCGTTTTTTCGTTTCGCCATTTGGTCAGCAACAAAAAAAATGGCTAATTTCCCACGTGAGGTTTATTTGATCGATTAGAAGTTTCGTAATGCTTAAATTGTGACGAGTGTACTGATATAACTTTGAGAGAAAAAAAACTTATGAGAGTTGTCTCGAGATGGCATTGCATATTCAAGACATGAGGCTAGTAGCATAGCATCTCTCCAGTGAATACAGGCGGTTGACGTCAACAGTCATCGAATATTCAAAAATAGATTACAATAATGAGATGTGTCCACCAATCCAAAGAAAGGATAGGCGGGAGCTAGACAGCGGTTCAGTGCCGCCTTTGGACAACGACTTCACTTGTTAGGCGGAGAGACGTGTATCTTGTCAGTATATCCATAATCTTGCTGTCTGTCATCCAGGGTTTATAACGTCATTGGTGTTGGGGAGGGTGGCTTCTTGACGAAGGTACAAAGTGGATGTTTTAAGTGCTACGGCCCGCAAAACAAGTAAGAATTTATTGTTTTCCCTTTCAAGTGAACTACGTTAATGTATAGCTCACGGTGAAATAAAAAGCCACATTTTGTTGACACGGTTCTCCAATTCGCAGTGGAGTTGACTTCCTCACCATATGGTTCTGTGTTAACTAACGTTGCTAGCTAACGGATATTTACAGCAGCTTCAGACTCAGATTCCTGTCGGCAATCATAGTCGTCATTTCAATTATACAAGTTAGAGAGACAACTCATCATTAGATGGCTTTTATGTTTATTAGCACGTAGTAAGCTATCTAGTTTTATGGATAACCTGAGTTAGTTGGGTAACTTGCTACATTAGTTAAATCTAGTTAGCGATCTAAGGCTAACTGTAAATCATTTGATTTACCTAACGTTAGCTAGCTACATTCTGAAGGAAATACCTGGTAACTAGGGCAAACTCTTGCTTGTGTCCTACTTTGAGCTAGCTAGCCAGAGATTGAGGATGTATGTGGCAGTCTGATGATGTTTTGGGGAGTGAGTATCTGCTCTTCATTGTCGCTCTGTGTTTCCTGGAACGCCCCTGTCTAATGGGTGTGAGGAACAGAAAGTCGATTTCCTAATGGTTGTCCTAGATAGCGTTTCCTAGTAAAGGTATTGTTGAACTGGCCCGGACATATTGCAAAAGTGTGAAGAGTCATTACTTTTAACAGATACTGTTTTAATGTCAAATCATACTTCGTTATGAATCTATAACAGCACTTCTCTCCAGTTAGGACTAGGCATTTAACTGTTATGTAACTTGTGACACATTTTATTAGGCCTATTTTAGGACAAACTTGCCTGATAAGTTTGATAACACTGTTTATCTCTGTACTCTCAGTTATGTATTGATAGCAAGATAGCAAAACAAAAAACTAGTTCCTACTTTCTCCTCTCCCAGAGTTTTCACCCACCCACCTACATTCCCAATATACCTGCCACCCAGCCCCCAACAGTCTTCACCCTGAGGCCTAAGAGCACACCACACAGGTAGCAATGTCTTCCGGTAAAGCAGACCGCTATCGCACACAGCCACGGGACTCCAATACCCTCATCCAGACATGCAGCTCCAACATCCAGAAGATCACACAGAACAGTAAGTATTGCTGCAGAAAGACAGTGGACAAACCCAGGGTAGAAGATTTAGAAAATTAAGATCATTCAGTCAGGACTTTGTAATAATCTATGCTAGATGTATCCTATAGCTTACAGTTTAGAGAATGTATTTTTTCACCCTTCCCAGCTGCCCAGATAAAGAGCATGGTGAATCAGCTGGGGACGAGGCAAGACACCAGCGAACTGCAGGACCGTCTGTAAGTATTCTCAGTGTTTTGCTTGTACATACACCGACAAACGTATTAATAAACATGCATCCATACACTGTCAAACTTATTTATGCGCCGAACACAGAACAGAACATATGTGTGTGTTCTATGTTACTCTCTGAGAGTTTGGTATCTCCCCTACTGACTTTGGACAACGGTTCCTGTTCCTTCAGGCAGCAGATACAGCACTTTACCAACCAGCTGGCCAAGGAGACCAGCAAGCACCTGAAAGACCTGGGCGCCGTCTCACTATCTTCAGCACCTTCAGAGCAGGTCAGTATCTGTTCCAATGAGTTTGTGTGTGTGTGTGTGACTGACTCCTCAACGATGACATTGGGTAACCTTTGTGTGTTTGAATGGCTCCAGGTTGAAGTTTCCCGTAGGTACAGATCTAGCATTAGCCCCCCCCCCCCCCCCCCCCCCCAATCCTAACCTTAACCATTACTGGGAGAAATGCAAAACTGACCCAAGATCAATGTCTAGGGGCAACTCCACCCTACACCACTCCTTGACAGTGACAACTCCTTGACAGTGACAATGTTTAGAATGACCCATTTCTTCTTCTTCTCAACCCACAGAGACAACAGAAGATCCAGAAGGACCGGCTGGTGAATGATTTCTCCGCTGCCCTCAACAACTTCCAGGCCATACAGCGCCAGGCAGCAGAGAAGGAGAAGGAGTCTGTGGCCAGAGCCAGAGCTGGTTCCCGTCTCTCAGTAAGGCTTTGAAAATGGATAGAATGCTGAATGTAAAACCATTGGCAGGTTTTCTATTTTCAAACTTTCAAGAGGATATTTTGCTTATGTGATGTCTGGATCCTCTCTGTCAGGCTGAAGATGGTGCCTCTGAGGAACAGCTCGTGTCTTTTGATAAGTACGTTCAAGCTTCTCTCTCTCAAAGGAGGATGTTTTGAAACTTATCTACTCCAGGATATGGTTCCTGATTTCTTAAATATCTCCTCTTCTCCATATGTGTTTTCTCGCTGTCTTTCTTTTCTGTAGCCAAGATGATTGGGGTCAGACAACCACACAGATGACAGAGGAGGCCATAACAGAAGAGGACTTGGAGCTTATCAAGGAGAGGGAGACTAACATCAGACAGCTGGAGGGTAAATCTCTCTCTCTCTCTGTCTGTATCTCTACTATACTATATATCTATTATATCTATATTCTATAATTATACATATAGTTGGATATATGTTCTATGTATATATGTCTCTCTGTTATAGTCTTCTCTCTCTCTATATATCTCTATCTCTGTCTCTCCTCTCTATCATGAATAGATCTCTATGGTCTCTATGTATCTCTGTCATCTGATCTTCTCTGTCTCTGTCTCTCTCTGCTCTGGTATAGTATATGTCTCTGCTCTCTCTCTCTCTCTCTTCTCCTCCATATATGTATCTCTCTTCTCTCTCTCTATTCTCTCTCTCTCTCTCTCTCTCTCTTCTCTCTCTCTCTCTCTCTCTCTCTCTCTCTCTCTCTCCCTCCATCTATGTATCTCTCTGTATACCAAACATTAGGAACACCTTCCTCATATTGAGTTGCACCCCCTTTGCCCTCAGAACAGCCTCAATTCGTCGGGGCATGGACTCTACAAGGTGTCGAAAGCGTTCCACAGGGATGCTGGCCCATGTTGACTCCAATTCTTCCCACAGTTGTGTCAAGTTGGCTGGATGTCCTTTGGGTGGTGGACCATTCTTGATACACAGGAAACTGTTGAGCGTGTGAAAACCAGCAGCGTTGCAGTTCTTGACACAAACCGGTGTGCCTGGCACCTACTACCATACCCCGTTCAAAGGAACTTAAATATTTTTGCCTTGCCCTCAATGGCACACATACACAATCTACGTTTCAATTGTCTCACGGCTTATAAATCCTTCTGTAACCTGTCTCCTCCCCTTTATCTACACTGCTTGAAGTGGATTAAACAAGTGACATCAATGAGGGATCATGGCTTTCACCTGGATTCACCTGGTCTGTCTATGTCATGGAAAGAGCAGGTGTTCTTAACGTTTTGTATACTCAATGTATACATCTTTCTCTCCCTCACTACATAGGGTGCTGGTCAAACTAGTGCACTGGGGAATAGGGTGCCGTTTACAGGGGGTTTTCTGTATAGAAAAGTATTGGGTGGGCCACCTAAGTGTGTTTTCAGGCTGCCTATGCAAAATACTTTCCGGGATGGAAATACGTTTTCAGTGTAAACTTAAACAACTTTAAGTTATGCATTCAGGGGTATTTTTGTCATGGCATGGGGCCCCCATTGATTTTCTTATGTTTGAGTCACTCAGATAGCATAAGCCATGGCAAGATGTGTAGAATTTCAGGAAATTAGCATTAAAGCTGCATATATTCTCTCAGCCCCATGGCAAAATGTGTATAATATCAGGAAATTAGCTTTAAAACAGCAAAACTATGTCACCGCGGGCAACGGGAGAGCCTCTAAAATATTCTGTAAGGGACCGCACCATTGGCCACGCCCCCGCCACATCCACCACCTAAGCCCCATTTTGATCCAGGAAAAAAACCTGATTTTAGGATTCAGCCGGTGCCTGGGGACCAGACCAATGCCTATGTTCATCATGTGGCATAAACAGGAATGCATTACCTTTCTCGTTGAGTTATATTGTGTTATTTCAGCATTACCTTTTTGTTGAGTTGTGTTATTTCAGCATTACCTTTCTCATTGAGTTATATTGTTATTTCAGCATTACCTTTCTCATTGAGTTGTGTTATTTCAGCATTACCTTTCTCGTTGAGTTATATTGTGTTATTTCAGCATTACCTTTTTGTTGAGTTGTGTTATTTCAGCATTACCTTTCTCATTGAGTTGTGTTATTTCAGCATTACCTTTCTCATTGAGTTGTGTTATTTCAGCATTACCTTTCTCGTTGAGTTGTGTTATTTCAGCATTACCTTTATCATTGAGTTATATTGTGTTATTTCAGCATTACCTTTCTCATTGAGTTATATTGTGTTATTTCAGCATTACCTTTCTTATTGAGTTATGTTGTGTTATCTCAGTCGGACATCTTGGATGTGAACCAGATCTTCAAGGACCTAGCAGTGATGATCCATGATCAGGGAGATATGATTGGTGAGTCCCATCACTGTTGTAGTACTGGAGTCCAGTGCCCAATCAGTGACTTCCTTCATAAAACCCACCACTCTAAAACATGGATTTGAACTCTCTAAGAGTATGATTAGGTTTCCGTATATACACATGCTTACAGTTAGAAAGCTGACCCCAAAAACATCTGTATTATTGGAGCAAACTCTGCTGATTGTCTTGTTTTGAAATAAAAATGCATATATGTGTTTAAAAAATAAGCTGACCCACCATAAGGCAGAGACAAGCTGACCCACCATAAGGCAGAGACAAGCTGAGGCACCATAAGGCAGAGACAAGCTGAGGCAGTGTGTCTGAACCTCTTCTCCGTGTGTTTCCACCACAGACAGCATAGAGGCCAACGTGGAAAGTGCTGAGGTCCACGTAGACCGAGGGACAGAACAGCTCCAGAGAGCCGCGTACTACCAGGTAAGAGGAAATATCACTGTTGCAGAGTAAGACTCTACTACCAGGTAAGAGGAAATATCACTGTGCGAGTAAATTATACCAGGTAAGGGGAATATCACGTTGCAGAGTAAGACTACTACAGGTAGAGGAAACACTGTTGCCAGAGTGAAGACCTACTACCGGTAGAGGAATATCACTGTGACAGAGAAGACTCTACATAAGGTAGAGGAAATATCACTGTTGCAGGTAAGACTTATACAGGTAAGAGGAAATATCACTGTTGCAGTAAGACTTATACAGGTAAGAGGAAATATCTGTTGAGAGTAAACCCTGTGTCCAGCTGTAGCATGGCGCCGATAATATCGAGGGGCCATAATTTCATAGGAGTGTCTCGGCAATGAGCCAGTGAGAGGAACTGAGCCAGGTGAGAGGAACTCGCTGAGCAATGTGTGAACAGAATGTACAGTAATTTGGGGAAAGCTGAACATTCTGTATATTCCCAGCGATATCATGACGCGATTGACCAATTGAGGCTCACTGTAGCTTTCAGACTGCTGGATTGGCTGTTGTTCCCTTTGCCCTTAGAACAGCCTCAATTCATCAGGGCATGGACTCTACGAGGTTTTGAAAGCGTATAAACTGAGCAGTATAATAAGAGTCTGGTAGCAGCAGTTTGTTTCTGCTTGTCACCTGTCACCATCCATCCATCCCTCTGCTCTGTCTCCCCTCAGCTAAAGTCCCGTAAGAAGATGTGCATCCTGGCCGTGGTCCTGTCCATAGTACTAACCATACTGGGCATCATCATCTGGCAAGCCACCAAATGAAGAGAGCCCACCCCCGACCTGAAACACTAGCCTGGGATGGATCCCCTGAGCGGTTAAGAGAAGGGGATGCCCGGGCTAGCTCACTGTTGGCAGGGTCAGAGGTCAGGGGTCAGTGGAGTGGCATCAGGGGCAAAGGGATGGGTCTAGGATGTAATCTTACCTGTTACCTGACATTCCCCACCTGAGCTCGAGACCTCCATCTAACCTCCTCTCTCATTTACCCTGAGACAACGCAGTAGTATTTATATTCAAATGAAGGAGAGTATTGGAGTGAGATGGGGTGGGGAGAGTGGATTAATAGGAAAATATAATCTTATGATCTGTTTCAGTTCATTTTGTGATATTTACTGCACTAACACTAACATTTATTGTATTTCCAAAAGCAGAATTATTGTTATTATTGTAGGGGTGTAAATGATTTTTGTAACCTGTACATTTCCGTCACCTTTCTGGTGTGTAAACAGTTTAGAGTCCCACACTCCATTCAAGTAACAGGAGAGGTTTCACGAACACAGATTAAGCCTAGTCCTCGACTAAAATTCATTTTCGATGGAGATTCTCCATTGAGCATGAATTTTAGTCCATGCGTGACTAGGCTTAATCTGTTTCGAGGAAACCACCCCATAGTCCTTATATTGCTCAGGTGAGATGAGGTTCTGATAGCAACTTTGTTTTATCCAACTGTATACATGATAATAACAAACTCTGGTCGTAATAAATATATTTATTAACACCGTTGCAAGAGCAAACCAGTTGCCGGAATGTTTTTTAGTCGAGGACTAGGTATAATCTTTGTCAGGGAAACCAGCCCCCTTGCGGTAGTATTATGTAATGCAACTTTTTTTTCCTCACGGTTCCTCCCTGCCTTAAGAACATGTTAGCAGAACAGGGACTTATGTTGTAGATGGTGGTGATGACTGGATATGATGATCATAGTTGTATATGTGCTGTAAAACTGAACTTATGACTGATTTTCTCATTATGATGCAACTCTTTTGTGTGTGTGTATATATATTACAAAATCTTGGACTATAAACCATTTTGAATATTTTCCGGGTAAGAAAGAAATATCTGTTAAATGCAACCACAGTTTTAAATCTACCTGTTTTTGTATTGATTTCAATGGCTTCTATCGGTATTTATAAACAAAAACTACTTCCAACACTTCGTTCTAAAGGGTTATTTATTTTGGTGTGCTTTTGAATGTTCAAGAAATGTAGTGGTTCGCACACAATTTCCTTTTTCCTTTTTTATGTTTTGTTCTTTTCTTTTTACAGCAGGGATGAAAGATTAACCCAAGTTTCAGTGTGTTTTGTATGTTGAAGGTGGAAAACAAAACACTGTCCTGTAGGCAGTGTAATATGGTGGCCAGTAGGAGTCAGTGGAGCTCTGAATACAGGCGCAGGAGAAGATGGAATGTTCATGGAAAAGCTGCAAACTGCTGATTTCAACCATCTGTTTTCATCGGGTTCAGATTCACTGCATCCACGTAGATTCACACTGAATGGCCAATACGAATGGAGTAGAGTTTAATTATTTCAGTACCAATGAAACAAGTTGAAATTTATACCGTGGTTTTATAGTTTGTACAAGGATGCACATTTAGTTGACAAGTAGGTAAGACACCTATTTGCATCAGCAGAAGCAGTCTTCACAAGTCTGTCTATATACAGTGCCACAAGTATGTTCTGTTACATCCTGTCCTTCAGAGTGGGATGATTCCCTTAGTGTGTTTCATTAAAACAGACATGAACATGGCCCAAGTCGTTGATTCTCACTGTATTCATCTGCTTCTACTGGTTCTGAAACGTCCCAGCTGAATCACTGCCATACACACAGGCCCCTTTAGATCCAGCACTCCAATGTATTGAGATTATTCCAGACAAACAACACCAGACAGGCGGTGAATCCCAAACCACCCCCTCGCCGCTACCATCTTGCCCTCCGTTGTCATGTGTTCCTTACTAAACTATGAGGGTGATTTAAGCACCACAGGTAACTTCCACAAAGCTGCGAATGATCTGAGAGACGAGGCAAGAAGGGCCTTCCATGCCATCGAAAGGAAACATAACATTTGACATCCCAATTAGGATCTGGCTAAAAAAATACTTGAATCGGTTATAGAACCCCATTGCCCTTTATGGTGGCAGAGGACTACAGTCCATTACGGCTTTCAAAGGAAGACCCAGCCGTGATCTGCCCAATGATGAAACTCTTCCAGGCGAACTTGAAGCATTTTATCCACGCTTCGACAATAACAACACCGTACCGTGCGTGAGGGCCCCCCCCCCCCCCCCCGACACAGAGGACTGGGAGATCTCGCTCTCCGAGGCCAATGTGATTATGGTCTCTAATCAGGTCAACACTCGCAAGGCTGGACGGTATTCCAGGGCGCGTTCTCAGAGCATGCGCAGATCAGCTAGCAGGCATCTTCACATATTTTCAACCTCTCTTTGTCCCAGTCTGTCATCCCCACGTTTTAAACTGACCACCATCATTCCCTGTTCCCAAGAACTCGTAAGGCTTCATGCCACAATGACTACCGCCCTGTAGCACTCACATCTGTAATCATGAAGTGCTTTGAAATGTTGGTTATGGGGCACACACAAACTCAAATCATCCCAGACACCCTAGACCCACTTCAATTTACATACAGCCCCAACAGATCCATAGACGACACAATTTCAATTGCATTCCACACTGCCCTCACCCACCTGGATAAGACGAATACTTGTGTGAGAATGCAGCAAAGTGTTCAACACCGTAGTCTCCTCCAAGCTCATCACCAAGTTTAGGACTAGATCCTGGACTTCCTGACGGGCCGACCCCAGGTGGTGAGGGTAGGCAACAACACATCTGCCACGCTGACCCTCAATACAGGGGCCCCACAGGGGTGTGTGCTTAGTCCCCTACTGTACTCCCTGTTTACCCACGACTGCAACACCATCATCAAGTTTGCTGACAAAACAACGGTGGTTGGCCTGATCACAGGCGACGATGAGACAGCCTACAGGGAGGTGGTCAGTGACCTGGAAGGGTGGTGCCGGGACAACAACCTCTCCCTCAACGTCAGTAACACCAAGGAGCTGATCATGGACTACAGGGGGGGGGGGGGGGGGGGGGGGACGCACGCCCCCATCCACATCGACTGGGGCTGCAGTGGAGCAGGTCGAGAGCTTCAAGTTCCTCGGTGTCCAAATCATTAAGGATTTTAAATGGTCCACTCACACGCGCACAGTCGTGAAGAAGGCGCAACAGCGCTCTTCCCCTTTAGGAAGTTGAAAAGGTTTGGTATGGGCCCTCAAATCCTCAGAAAGTTCTAAGGCTGCACCATTGCTTGGTATGGCAACAGCACAACCTGGTCTCAGATAATTGTTTATTATTCTGTATGTAAATCCGAGACACTCCATTTAGTATGATACAGCTGAAGTCGGAAGTTTACATACGCTTTAGCCAAATACATTTAAACTCAGTTTTTCACAATTCCTGACATTTAATCCTAGTAAAAATTCCCTGTCTTAGGTCAGTTAGGATCAACACTTTATTGTAAGAATGTGAATTATTTTATTTATTTCATCACATTCCCAGTGGGTCAGAAGTTTACATACACTCAATTAGTATTTGGTAGCATTGCCTTTAAATTGTTTAACTTGGATCAAACGTTTCGGGTAGCCTTCCACAAGCTTCCCACAATAAGTTGGGTGAATTTTGGCCCATTCCTCCTGACAGAGCTGGTGTAACTGAGTCAGGTTTGTGGGCCTCCTTGCTCGCACACGCTTTTTCAGTGCTGCCCACACATTTTCTGTAGGATTGAGGTCAGGGCTTTGTGATGGCCACTCCAATACCTTGACTTTGTTGTCCTTAAGCCATTTTGCCACAACTTTGGAAGTATGCTTGGGGTCATTGTCCATTTGGAAGACCCATTTGCGACCAAGCTTTAACTTCCTGACTGATGTCTTGAGATGTTGCTTCAATATATCCACATAGTTTTCCTTCCTCATGATGCTACTCTGTTAATTATTTATGCATAGTCACTTTAACTCTACCCACATGTACATATTACCTCAACTAGCCGGTGCCCCCGCACATTGACTCTGCACCGGTACCCCCCTGTATATAGCCTCCCTACTGTTATTTTATTTTACTTCTGCTCTTTTTTTCTCAACACTTTTTTTGTTGTTGTTGTTTTATTTCACTTTTTTATTAAGAAATAAATGCATTGTTGGTTAAGGGCTGTAAGTAAGCATTTCACGGTAATGTCTACACCTGTTCTATTCGGCGCATGTGGCAAATTTGATTTGATTTGATGCCATCTATTTTGTGAAGTGCACCAGTTTCTCCTGCAGCACAGCACCCCCCACAGCATGATGCTGTCACCCCCGTGCTTCACGGTTGGGATGGTGTTCTTCGGCTTGCAAGCAAACCCCTTTTTCCTCTAAACATAATGATGATCATTATGGCCAAACAGTTCTATTTTTGTTTCATCAGACCAGAGGACATTTCTCCAAAAAGTACGATCTTTGTCCCCATGTGCAGTTGCAAACCGAGTCTGGCTTTTTTATGGCGGTTTTGGAGCAGTGGCTGCTTCCTTGCTGAGCGGCCTTTCAGGTTATGTCGATATAGGACTTGTTTTACTGTGGATATAGATACTTTTGTACCTGTTTCCTCCAGCATCTTCACAAGGTCCTTTGCTGTTGTTGTGGGATTGATTTGCACTTTTCGCACCAAAGTACGTTCATCTCTAGGAGACAGAACACGTCTCCTTCCTGAGTGGTATGACGGCTGCGTAGTCCCATGGTGTTTATACTTGCGTACTATTGTTTGTAAAGATGAACGTGGTACCTTCAGGCATTTGGAAATTGCTCCCAAGGATGAACCAGACTTGTGGAGGTCTACCATGTTTTTTCTGAGGTTTTGGCTGATTTCTTTTGATTTTCCCATGATGTCAAGCAAAGAGGCACTGAGTTTGAAGGTAGGCCTTGAAATACATCCACAGGTACACCTCCAATTGACTCAAATGATGTCAATTAGCCTATCAGAAGCTTCTAAAGCCATGACATCATTTTCTGGAATTTTCCAAGCTGTTTAAAGGCACAGTCAACTTAGTGTATGTAAACTTCTGACCCACTGGAATTGTGATACAGTGAATTATAAGTGAAATCATCTGTCTGTAAACAGTTGTTGGAAAAATTACTTGTGTCATGCACAAAGTAGATGTCCTAACCGACTTGCCAAAACTATAGTTTGTTAACAAGAAATTTGTGGAGTGGTTGAAAAAACTAGTTTTAATGACTCCAATCTAAGTGTATGTAAACTTCCGACTTCAACTGTATGTTACCTATGGTTACATAAGACAGATGGTTACTTATGGCAAAAACGAAAGTAGGGTGGTTGGTCA